GTTTGTGCGGCGGTTTCGGCTTGATGTTTGGACTATGGACTAGCTGACGGTTATATACGGTTATTCCCGCTACCCACTGGTCGGCTTCTCTGACAGGCTGAAGTCCAAGTCGACTCAGTGCTGGCCAGTGCCCACTGACCGCCGCCCACGTATGTCGACAAACTGACTGAAATAAAACCCGAACTATCTGGCACTTGTGCTCTCCCATAGCCTGCCATTCACGGCGTTAAGTGGATGCCTCTGCGGCAGCTGTGCGTGTCTGAGCTGGTGTATCCAGAAGAGGCTGTTCCGGTCGGCCGACTGCCGTGACTCGTGTCCATCCGAGCAGCACGCGTCCGATCCGCTCCGGCACGTGCTGGCACTCATCCCCTCGGACATGGCGTCCGGTTCTGATTAATGGCCCCTGAGATACGACATCAGGCCATGTTTAGTGCTCGGAGGTCCTAGAGTTGTGCTGATCGGGATAGTCCTTCGGGCGAAGCAGAAGGCCCTGTCCAGTCTTCAGTGTCCGGTTGTCCCTAGAATAGTATGTAGAATACAGCCCAAGTTGTTTCGTGATTCGTCGGAAGAAGGCTATCAGATACACACCGCATTTCTCGGGACATTGGCTCGTCCCTTATCATTGCGTCTTCGTCTGTTCGCATGCCGCTCTTATCTCAACATATCGTCATGTGGCACTCAAGTTCGAGTCGCTCTTTGGCGGTTTCTTCCCATAAAATGGTGATCGCCGTGGTGACGACCGGCTCAGGCCGTTGGGACTAGGCGTGAATGTGGCGCACACTTCCCTGTTACAATGCTTCTCGTCATAGATCTTTGGTCTGGTTAGTGGGACGCGGTATGAAGTCGTGTGATTATCTGCCATGAGCAAACTGTGTCAGACCCTGTGCTGGGTCCTACCCGTGTGGCGGATGTCGCCGGGTCCTGCCTGTGGCGAAAAGTGTCGTGTGGACACTGGACGGCGCCGGGTTGTTGGACGCCGACTGTTCAGAATCCTGTGGCAGAGGCGGTGCGGGCCTTGTAATGAAGACTGCCCACTTCTACGGAAGGGTATCCCTGAGTGACGAGGGAGGTGCGGACCGCGACTTGTTTGTGCGGCTGGACCCGCGGCGGCGCCGTGTGTGGTCCGCTGTGTTATTCGCCGCTCCTCGCAGAGGGCGGACTGACCAGCCACTGACTCCTCATACCGCCTGTCGGGGCCCGACCATGGGCCACCTCACCTCACCGACCCGACCCAACTGCTGTTCAGACCCGCCGGTCTGCCCAGCCGGACCTGCATGGTCTAAGGATTCGTCGGCGCCGATGACAAATGCCGTGCGGATGCGTCCAAAAACCAAGACCGGAACAAACCAAACCAATAGATTATGGAATCTTCGATCATCATTGCCGAATTCACTTTGGGATGGTTGTTGCATAAACCACCAAGGAGACTTGGTCGGTATAAATCTACACCTGCCATGCTTCCGTGCTCACCACTTCACGCAGCGATTGCAGCTTCAGTCACAGGGTTACGGGTCGGAGCTCTAGCTCGTCTCAGGGCTACCGTTTCGGGCGCCTTATTATATAGCATAATCGATAATTATCCTTATCTCGTGCAGTGTAAGAGCAGCATAAAACATGTAAATCTGGCATTTATGTGAATCCATTAAACTTTCATTTTCAGTCTTCCAGATGAGTGGGGTTCACGATGTGAAGTAGAGGTTTTCACTAATTAGCATCGTTGGATGTTGTTTTACCCGGATTTTATCGATGATTTGTGTGGTACCAATTAATGACAATATGATAAACGGGATATTTTGGGTCAATCATGCAATATGGCTCGTATTTTATTGTCTCCATCATCATCATCTGGCCGCATTTTCTTCTGTCGCCACAGTCTTGTTCCTTTTCATGTTCTGCCTTTCCCTTGGTTGTATTCCAATCAATCAACCTGTGTCACGAATCGAAGACGCAGCATCATAGCACGGAAGGGTATCATAGGGTGGTGGTATTTACAGATCTGGGCTTAGAATGGTGACATGGAGTTGGACACGGTCACGTAGCTGGGAACGGAATAGCGACATGTAACTGGACACAGAATGGATCTTGGCGTGGACTGGTCGTACGAACTACGGATCCGGCCACGGGATGGTGGCACGTCGTGTTCTGAGGATACCTTCAGTCAGCCGTCAGTGACAGCGGCGGCAGTTCTGACAGCCGGGAGTCGGTAGTAGCGCTGGCCGCTGACAGCCGGGAGTCGGTAGCAGTGCTGACAGCTGCGGTCGGCGGTCAGCGGCCGTGCTGACTGCCGGTGTCAGTAGCAGCTCTGGCCGCTGACAGCCGGGAGTCGGCGGCAGTTCTGACAGCCGGGAGTCGGTAGCAGTGCTGACAGCTGCGGTCGGCGATCAGCTGCCGTGCTGACAGGCGGGGTCGGTGCCGGCTCGTCGGACGGAAATGGGGCCCACCTCCGCCGCCGGCCGCGTACCTGACATTCCCGAGGACAGAGTCGGACTGACGAGCGACGCTGGCAGCCTCCGGCGCCCACTCCTCGCCACCCGACCCCTCTCCACTCTCCAGCCGGGAGGTGGTCTGACAGACCATGTCCGACCGCTCCTCTCACCCCCCCCCCCCTCCCCGACACACCGCCCCTCTAGGCAGAGAGGGAGGTTGAAAGATGAAAATCTCGGAAAACCATGAATCAGGATTGTCTTGTGCTGTTTTCGAATGGAAGCATACCAATTTTGTTTAGTTTGTTCCTTTTAGTAAGTTGGTCTCAAACAGAGGTCTTGAGAATCTTGAGCCTGTCACCGTCTAGAATGATTCAGGGAAGCGAATTCGCTTCTGGGGAACCTGTTCCCAGGCTGGTTATATGTGCGTTCTATATTGAACACACACGGCTGGGAATTTCTCCAGCAATGTAACATTGGCCCGATCTGAAGCTCAAGAGGAAAGTTGGGAGCACGCTGGGTATTTTTAACCAGCGCCTGATTACTAGTGTCTACTATTGTCCTGACTCCTGACGCTACTTTTCCTGGGAAATCCGTTTGTGACATTTATGAGATGTTACGATACGTGCACATCCGTAATGGCCTCAAGTGAATTTCCCGTGTATGATCCTAATATTGGAAGCAATCTGTCCACATTTCGTACATATTTATGTTCGCAAATGATCATTGCCTTTCCGTTGCAATGTAGTTTTGTTCTGGTAGCTGGTGTCTATTGTTGCTCGCTTCAACCTCTATGAAACGGGCTCGTGGCATTATGCAGTGGTATATTAGCCTAGCCGCTTAATTACACTCCGCCTAATGGTAAGCTGCTCATGAATGCGACACAATGCAGCAATTAGCAAAGACGATATTGATGTTGCAAAGACGGTAATGAATCCTTGCGCGTTTCCCATGTCGTAGTATTGTGGAAGACACTGATCTTTGGTATATGACTTGTCAAAGCGCGTTATTTCCTTTGCACCTCCGTACAACATGACTGTGATTGGCTACCAATAAATTAGCACGCAAATATTTTCAAATAGGCGTTCGTTCACCTATTGCTCATTCAGACCACAAAGCATTTGCAGTATAATATCATGGATACCTGGCATGACGGATGATATCTGCTAATTCCTGGCGCATAGTGTCGCTCTTATTTCGCATACGGTGTGCTGCCCCGATGTTGAGCGTTACTGGTCTCGTGATGCTGAATAGCATTCGTGCTGTGATTGAGCTGTGGTCACGTAACACTGACTGACATGCCGTCGTGCCCTGAAGTCGACCCACGCGTGCGACCGGACAGGTGGTCGCGTGATAGACGCGTGCAGTGGTGCAGGGACGCGAGTAGTGACACGTGACTTTTGCAGAGTGTAGTGCGAATAGTGCTTTTAAATCTCTGTCCATGATAGCTGCGCGTTAGGTGTCCACTGAACAACATGGACGTGGTGAAATCATTTATACGAATCGTCTTTTGGAACAGTCTTCTGCCACGGTACGCTATAATGGCCGCTTGTGATCGGGTGGCTAGTATCATTGGCATGCCACCCACCACTGAAGTTCGGAGGGTATACTCCGGCTGTCGAGATTGCCCTCACGGTCGGGACTGAACTAAGTGACGGCTTGGATTATGAGTTGATAAGGATCGATAGCTTCGGTAGCGTCATCGGGGAGGGCGATAGGGTATTCGATGATGTCATATTTCCACCGACATCCCAACGCCATAAGATTGTTCAGCTAGCGCCGCCAGACCTCTAACAAGGATGCAGAATCGACAGATACTATGCGTGAGAAGGCTTATAGCGCCGTCTGACTGTTGTGTTGTGTATGAACTGAGCGCTAATTCCACAATGGAGAGTCACTGCAATAATCTGAAACCACGCGGAGGGACTTGAGCTCAAGTACCGTTCTCAAGCTTATAAAGTCTGAGAGTGCTAGATAAAACAAGCTATGATCAATGTCCCACGCTCTGCCGTTTGGGTTTCTGTTTGACCATCGACCTTGTCCCCTGTGCACTTCGGTGTACCTTCATCTATCAATTTTATCTGCATCACTGTCTTTTTGATTTCGTGAGGCGGATGCTCTGTCGATTGGTCGTTATCTCATACGGCCGCCGCTTGCCGCGGGCTGGTATCTCCGTCTCTGTTGTCCGTATTGTTGGCAAATCTCAGTCGCACAAATTCGACGTGTTCCGGTTCTCTGCAAACTGTGTCGGGTGGGTGTGCCCGTCTCTGGGGAGGCGTCTGGTGGCCGGCTGCACTGGTCTCAGCCGCGCCCATTGCCGCTCTGTCCACCTAACCCGTTAATCTGTGTGTGCTGTGTGTCTATCGCTGGACTGGGTTGTTTGTCTCTGAGCAGGCAGCTGATGTGCGCCGGACCGGGGTGTCTGAGCTGCATCTGACTACTGTATATGTCTATGTTGCATCTGACAGCTGTTGTCTGCTCTTGCTGACCGCTGGGACTTCTGTCTATGTTGCGTCTGACCGAGGGAACGTCTTTCTATGTTTTATCTGACCGCTGGGACCTCTGTCTATGTTACAGGTCGGCAGACGGCCGAGATGGGCAGCACCCTTCCCTCAGCACACTCCCCGCGCTCGCGGACACCTCCCGTCGAGAGGAAACAGAAATTCGCCGGCCTCGGGCGCCTCTTCAAGCCCTGGAAGTGGAAGCGGAAAAAGAAGTCTGACAAGTTTGCCGAAACGCAGCGTTGTAAGTGTCCGCCTGTTCTGGGGCGGCCGGTGGGCCAAAAAGTCCGGAGTCAGGCCTGCAAACATGAGGATGTGGTGTATACGTCCGTTCAGTTGCAGATGTTATCGCTCACTTCCCGGTAATGCACTGCAACTTGGTTGTTCGGTAAAGTTGTGTTCTGCCGGGTGTAGCTGCGCTTTGCCGTAATTCCTGGTCTCTGGTGTGAGAGTCGTGGACGCCCTCCCTGTTCGTTCATATCACGTACCATACATCTTTTGGGTGTAATGCTATTTTAAATGTGTTCGACTGGGCATGTAAGACCAAAATTGTTGTGAATGTGACTTTCCAGTTGTTTTCCAATTTCCATTAGTGTTATTGTTTATTCCATTAGAATCATTCTCCCATCGCCACATCACCTGTGTCTGTTTTCCTGTGCTGGTGGGTGGGGCATCCACATGTGGCGGCGGCAGAACGCCCAGACAATCGTCATTGCAACGGACGTTTCTACGAATGACCTTGAATGAATCAGATACCATCGGCCATAAAGGCATTCAAATGCACGCGACCAGCATTTCATTGAGCTTTCCACTGCGGTACCAGCCGATGTTTTTCATTCATTCCACGTGAGGCGGATGTATACCTATGATTTCAACATTCTATTGCGCACTCCTTGAATAACACTTAAGCTGTGTTTGAAATATTTAGTATTTATGCATGCAGTGTGTACATTCCTCTAAAGTTGCTAGGATTGCTATCTCGTTTTTCCTTTATAGCATAGGAGCATTAACTGACCATGTGGTGTGTTCATGACTCTGACATTCTCTGTGCGTTTCAGCGCTGGAGCGGAAGATCTCAATGCGTTCAAATCGGGATGACCTCATCCAGAAGGGCATTTTGTTACCGGATAGCGCTACCTCATCGCCGTCAACAGCGGCGCCCGCCAGCGACGCTCCCGGTGGGTCCGTGGGCCCCTCTACCCAGCGGCCTGACGCTCCCGCTGGGTATGCGGTCCCCTCTTTCCATCCTCCAGTGAGTCTCTTGCTGGGTCCTCGAGCCTCTCTCCCCATCTCGGCCAGTCGCTCTCGGTGAGTCTACTCTCCCTCTTTTCCAATATCCGCCAGCCCGGGCGCTCTCGGACTCTCGGTGGGCCCACGGTCTCCGCTCTCCACCCTGGTCTGATGCGCTAGACCTTGGGTGGTCGATGCTGCCACCTAACGGATCTTGGCTGACAGACGTGGACAATGGACATAACTTAGAGCGTTGCACAATGAGCATAACACAACGATGTAGCTTATTAGTTGACAGAGAGGCTTTGTGAAGGCTTTTAGATAATCTTGAGCAATTTCCATAGCTCGAGTTATAACTTTGTTAACTATCTACTATTTGGTAATACAAAGCTAGATGTAGATGCTTTGTGTAGATGCTTCGTTTGTCGTTTGACATTAATCTCCATGGTGTATCCCTATGGCGTATTGAGTTCGATGCACGCCCTCTTACTGCATGGTCGCTTTGTTGTCCTACGCCACAGTGTGTCGTACCTCGCCGTTGACACCCCTCCCCCTCTCCCGCTCTGCAGACCTTCTGAAGGAGCGGGACCTGCTGAACGGTGCGGTCAGCAGGTCATCTCCCCCGGCCCAGCACCAGACCCCTCCTGCTACCCCGGCGGCCGCTGCGGAGACGCCGCCGCCGCCGCCGCCGCGGCCCGAGCGGCCCGAGCGGCCGGCCAGCCTGGGTAAGTTGGCCGCGCCGCCGCCGCCCCGGCCGTCGCCGGTAGCGGTGTCGTCAGCTCAGCGACCCGTCAGCGTGCCGTCAGCGCTGCTCAGCAGGCCAGGTGAGTACGGAGGGCGGCCTCAGCACGCTCCACCACCCGGTCCGCCCGTCCGTCAGGGCTGTCCTGCACGCGGCGCAGCGGCCTGGCCTAGTCTGCGACCGGCGACTGCCGTGTGTGTCTCAGTGTAGCCGGTTTGAGCAGCGGTCCTCTGGTACTAACCGTCTTCCATCGAGATTTGGAATGCGTACAAATACTTGGAATGAGCCCCGCCCCTGTGGCCTTTGTCTCGGTCTCCCCGCATCTCTGGCGATTCTTCAGTACCTACCGGTAAAAAGCATGGTCTTTCGTGGCATTTCTTCTGTGTAATGGTAAGTGTTTTTGTCCTTTCTGGTTATGTTGCGTTTGACTTGCACGTTCTTGTTCTGTTTCCAACTTGATTTGGTTACAAAGCTGGTGACTGTTCGATTTTGTTGTCATCGTCTTTACTTTTGCATGGTTCTATGTTCGTCTAACATTTTCTACCTTTTTTCCTTGATACATTGTTCCGATTTGAGATGGTGGAATCGTAACGAAAAGTAGAGCATACTAAAGCTTATGTTTACATTTTACTTGTTTGTAGTTTTTATGCTCTTTGATAAATAAGAATGTAACTTCTAAATCACTTTTTTCATAACCTCTTTGATGACTTGCCGGCGCCGTGCGTTGTTCGGCGCGTCCGGTGCCGTTGTTTGGTCGCCCCACCCCTCTGACAGTCCCTCGATCCGTGTCCTCAGGCGCACCCCCGGCCCCGGCGGCCGCCCTCCGAGGAGCCGAGCCGACCGCCGAGCCGCGCCTGTCACTCTCCCGGCTGCCCGAGCCGCCGATCGGTGTCACTGAGATCGGACTCATCCCGCCGCCTGCCATGTTCTCCAACGGTGGCGCCACTGCGGCAGCAGCAGCCGCCGCCGCCGCTGCCGCTGTGCCGCCCCCGCCCCCGCCGACAGCCGCGCCGCCGCCGCCGCCGCCCGGTCTGCTGGCCGGTACCTCAGTCAACACAGCCGTGCCACTGGACCTCAGCGACCCGCGCTTTGATGATCTGGAGGAGGAAGAGGTGGGAAAAGGGGATGGAGAGACGGAGAGGGTGGTAAACAGGAACTGGAAAGGTGGAGGAGGGACGGATAGAGGAATGAGGTAGGGAGGGAGCACAGAAGGGTCCTGAAAAATGGATGAAGAAGGTTGCGAAGGGGGCAGGACAGAAATAAAATATTTTACCTTGCTTGCTACCTACCTGTCATTTCCAACTTGTGAATGATTTGTCGGTCAATGCCTATGACTCAGCCTCGGGGATGACGAGACGGACAGCTCACCCAGGCCAGAGGGCGCCCGGATGATACCACTCAGCCGGAACTGTAGGTATCCCTGTTATGTATCCCGGCAGTCTCACCGCTCACCGCCGAACGCTCACCGTCTGCCTCCCCTCAGGTGATGTTCGGTGACGATGACGACGATGACGAGTACTACCCGATGGCCGGCGGCGGCCGCGGCGACGAGCCGGCGCTGCCGCCGCCGCGCGAGCCGCGGCTCGACCTGGTGCCACTCAAGTCGGCGCTGAAGAAGCCCCGGCCGCCGTCCGAGCCGGCCGCACCGCCGGGTAGCGGTCAGCAGGACCCGGCGCAGGGGTGAGTCGACTGGGGTGGAGGGTGGAATGGGCCGGGTGAGACAGAGCACTTGACGGTGTGAGCACTGGCAGGAACAGTTCAGACATGTAGCATGCACTGACGATGTTAACAATTAACAATATATTTTGTTCTTTAAACTCTCCTCTATCCGCTGAGCTGAGCATGACCAGTATTTGGTTTTGTCCTCCAGTCCGTTATCGTTACTTAATGGAGCCAACTCTCCAGGACCCATTTATTATCTCATGATGTCGACATCGTGGTGCCAGTTCCGGTCTCCGCTCAGTGGTAGAAACTGGCGCCAGTCGACCTATAGTTGTCCGGACCTAGAATTGTCCGGACCGGACGTCCTCCCTCACTCAGCGGAACATGGGTTCGCCTTTTCTAGAGGCTCCCGGGCGGTCTGTCGCAGCCGGCCCGGAGGACAGAGTCTCATGTCCCGCGGGTCATTGGCAGTTTGCGGAGTAAGTGCTGGCATCGAAGCTTCGCTAGGTACATGTACGCTAGCCTTTGGTCTTGTCAAACGATGCCTTTTGCATGTTCTGCAATGTTATTGAAGTGGACCAAACCACCTGAAAGGTCAGTTTAGTGTTTGGATAGAAAATTTTTCTTATTCTTGAGCGTTTTGGGAGCTATTTATTCTCTTTCTACACTGACTGTATCTCTTTTGAAGCTGTATACTATGTTGTTTAGTATGCGCTGGAAGTAGGCTGAATTCAATATTTTTTATAGTGACGCTTTTTGAAGGATCCCAGAATGACTGGCTCCGAGTAGAATATCGCACACTATTTTGCAGGCTATACGCTTAGTAATTACATATTCATACGTTGTCGGCTTTTCTATATCTTTACGAAAGTGAATGTTTTTTTTTCAAGGTGTGTTTCGGTTTCACTTCTGTCGTACCCTGCACTTCGATGTGCGTGGGGCTCTCTTTTGCGACAGGATCTAAAGATGTGCGGTGACCATGGCATAGTACCAGTCTGCTTAATCGCTAATCGGAGGATCATTAAACATCCGACAGCATCCTCACTCGACGCTGGATCAGGATTGTTTTCCTCGATAAAATCACCATGTGTAATATGGGATTTTAAGAACAAAGACTTCTTACGTTTCCTCTTCAGAGAGCGGGTCACGTGTGATGCTTCCTCCCTACCCGTCCGTTGCACAGTGATGCTTGTATCCAAGCCTTTGTTCTATCCCTGTCACCAATATCGTAGGCGCGCGACATAAATGTCGTATTTGTTACCCCATGACCCGTCCCTTTTGCTGTCTGTTGACCCGTCCCGTTAGTCCCCTGTTGACCCGTCCCTCATTGTTGACCCGTCCCGTTCACTCCCCTGCGGCCCACCAGAGGAGTCCGCGCTATGACCGACCTGTGTCGGCTGCGGTTCAGGTGAGAGCTCTATCCAACACCCACGGGCTTCGCTCGCACTTCTGATGTCTGCTCTGTCTTTCCTCTGTTCGGGCTTCCGTTCGAGTGTTTGCAATATGTGGGGATTTGCAAATAAAGCGGACTTACCAACTTTTGTTACTGTTTTCTACTATCAATGAGTGCGCTGTTGGTTTGCTTTTTTCCTATGCCTCTAATGACGCATTTTGTTGAGGGTTTGAGTTAAATTGACCATCGGCAATGATCTCAAAGCGTCCTGCTTCGCTTGTCAGTTATGATCCTCATGCCTTGGGTTTCATAGTTTTTCGACCCTTTACTCTTTCGTTGTTAAAAGAATCGCATGCACCTTATCTCCACTTCTGTTCCGGTGATATGTCGGATAGATGGCAGAACTCATTCGAAGGTTTAAGCGTGTCTGCTTATACGGCATCACACTTCTAGGCTGTGGAGGCCTTGGGTGTGATCTAGAATATGTACCACTGCTCATGAGATGTCCCTGACCTTCCGCAGCCCGCCTTGCGCCGAGTCGCGTGTCCGTTGAATGGTGCGCCGACCATCGGCCGCTAACTGGCTCAACTGCCGCTCGGCGGCGGCTGCAGCGGCCTCGTGCACGGCAGTGCCGCCCCGCGCCGCCCACTGCCCGGGAGCTGTGTGTGTCCGCTGACGGCTGTCTGTCTCTGTCGACAGGGCGCTGCTGACCGCCGGCGGCGGCGACCGGCGGCCGGTCGGCGGCGCCGCCAGCTCCGGCGAGGATAGTGATGACAGTGACGGGCCGATCCTCTACCGCGACGAGCCGGCCGAGGGCGAGAGTGGCGTGCTGACCCGACTCGGCTCGCGCGTGCAGCGCTCCGACAGCCTGGCCATCAAGCTGGCGCTGCGGCCCGACCGCCAGGAGCTGATTGATCGCAACATCATTCACGCGCAGACGGAGCAGGACCGTACTGACTGGCGCAGCGAGCTGAGCGCCAAACTGAACCGGCGCCTCAGCCTGCGGCCCACCGCCGAGGAGCTCGAGAGCAGGAACATCCTGAAAAGTGAGTGGTGCCGCCGCGTGGTCCGAGTACCCAGACGGTCGGCCTGCCTGACATGCACGGAATACTGAACGAACGATGTGTCGAATGTCCACTGTGCATCTTTTTCATTGTCTTTGGCGTCAACGCTGTCTTTGTGCTCAAAGCCCTAAAACACTACTGTATTTACTGCTCAAAATTGTTCAGAGATGATCCAATGTCTCGGCGCTCATATTTAACCCATCAGTTCACATCAAGTCACTTCGCTGTTTCAGTACGGCCTCCGGGCCAACTACCAGGACCTACAGTCTCTTATCCGTTGGCGCACACCCCTTGTTTTAGGTCTCCAGGAGACCAAGCTTGCGCCAAACGTCACCCTTGCCATCAAGGGCTACTCTGTTTTTAGGAGAGACCTGGACACCCCTACCATTGCCCATGGAGGTGTGCTTCTGGCGGTTCACCACAGCGTACCTGCGCGCCAGGTGCCGCTGCAGACTCCCCTGCAGGCGGTGGCCGCCAGAGTTGATTTCAACCACCGGGAACTGACTGTGTGCTCCTTATACCTTCCACCAGGTATAGCGCTCCCGGTGGTTGAGCTTCATCGACTTTTCGATGAGCTTCCACCTCCGGTCCTGATAGTCGGCGATTTTAACGCCCATAGCCTGGCGTGGGGATGTGACACGACTGGCACTCGTGGTCGACTTTTAGAATCTTTTATCCGCGATGAGGCGCTGTGTATTTTAAATACAGGACAGCGCACCCATTTTACAACACCCTCCGGTCAAACATCGGCTCTGGACCTGAGCTTAGTAAGTCCGCGGCTAGCTCAGCTATTTACCTGGTCCGTCCATGACGACCCACTCGGGAGCGACCACTTCCCAGTGTGGCTGGAGCACCAGGAGTCCCCAGTGTCGGGCAACCGTCCACCTAGGTGGAATGTTCGGAAAGCCGACTGGGACGAATTTCAGGCCGCTGTAGAGGCCTCTGTTTTAGCCAGAGCCGACGCCTCTGTGATGTCTACAGAGGATTTTACATCTTTACTCAATGACTCCGCAAACGGGTGCATACCCAAGACGTCGAGTCAGCCTCGTCGTCCTCCGGTCCCGTGGTGGACTAAGGAATGCGGAGATGCGATTCGTGCCAGGAAACGCGCTTTTAGAAAGTTTGACCGGAGTAGTACTACTGAGAACCTCATCGCTTTTAAGAGAGCGCGGGCTTTTGCCCGACGCGTTTTAAAGGAGGCAAAGGCTGTTTCATGGCGCACTTATGTAAGTTCCTTAAACCGTTTTACTCCTACGACCCAAATATGGGCACGCATGAAGCGCATTGAAGGTCGGTTCAGCTCTGTTCCGCTTCCGGTTTTAAGAGTGAACAACACGGACATATCTCATCCTTCAGACGTCGCAGAGACGATAGGTCGTGCACTCTATCAGCGCTGCCGAGGAGAGCCGTCCTCACGACCTGCACCAGCCGCCGTGGACTTCAGCACAGCTGAAAATTTGGTGTACAACGAGCCTTTCTCTATGGCTGAGCTCACGTCTGCCATCAGCTCGTTGCGCAGCGTCTCAGAAGGTCCGGATGCTGTCCACAACGACATGCTCCGTCATCTCCCAGCAGTTGCCCTCGAGGCGCTGCTAGCAACCTTCAATTCGCTTTGGGAGACTGGCACTTTCCCTGAGACCTGGCGGGAAGCCACTATCATTCCTATCTTGAAGGCTGGTAAGTCGGGACATGACCCTCTCCATTATCGGCCCATCTCTCTCACATCATCGCTATCAAAGCTGATGGAGAAGATGGTCAATGTGCGTTTTAGCTGGTTTCTGGAACATCATGGTGTTTTTACAAACGCCCAGTGCGGTTTTAGAAAGCACCGCAGCCCTGTTGACCACATTTTAGCCCTTGACACCGAGATACGCACCTGTTTTACTGAAAGGAAGCACCTTGGAGCACTGTTCTTTGATATTGAGGCGGCCTATGATACAGTCTTACGACACAGCATACTTTTCAAAGTTTATAAGTACGGCATACGCGGCCGGATGGGCCTCTTTATCGAGAACTTTTTATCGGGTCGTCGGTTTAAAGTCCGAGTCGGTAACCAGTTGTCTAGCAGTTTTACCCAAGAGAATGGAGTCCCTCAGGGAGGGGTGCTTAGTGTGGCGTTATTCGCAGTGGCGATTAACGATATCGCCGATGATCTCCCGGTCTCTATCGGCAGATCGCTTTTTGTTGACGATTTTGCCATCTGGTTCGCCGCTTCCAGCGCTCGGCACATGGCCAGACAACTGCAGCTTGCAGTCAGACGGCTTGAGAGATGGAGCCGCGACAATGGTCTCCGTTTTTCAACGAGGAAGACTGTTGCCATGCATTTCTGTCGCCGCCGCTGCGCCGACCCTACATTGGGTATCCGTCTGTACGGACAGACGATCCCCACGCAGCCGGTGGCGAAGTTTCTTGGTATGACGTTTGACGGACGTTTGACGTATAAAGAACATTTTAGAACGCTTCGGGAACGATGTTTTAAATCCCTGAACGTTTTAAAGTGTGTTGCCCGCACATCATACGGTGCGGATCGCAAAACTCTGCTCCTCTTGTACCGGTCGATCATCCGATCGAAGCTGGACTACGCGTGTTTTGTTTATGATTCTGCAAGTGAGTCCAGCAAGAAGTCCCTGGACGCAGTACATCACGCTGCGCTCCGCGTTGCCACCGGGGCTTTCCGCACTTCTCCAAAGAGTAGTCTTCTGGCTGAAACGAATGAGCCACCTCTAGCTCTTCGTCGCCAGATGCTGGGGATGCGTTACACTTTGAAACTTCGCCAATACCCAACGCATCCGACGTACCCGTACGTCTTTTCACGTCACGCTACTCGATCTGACGGGAGGGTACGACCGTCGTTTGGAGAACGCATGGGAGGTCTTTTTTCAGCTGCTAACATATCCTTGCGTGGCGTTCGGCGTACCTGGGACACGCCCCCTCCACCCTGGAAAAACGCCAATCCGCAAGTGGACCTCTCACTATCGACTGTTAAGAAGGACAACTTGTTGCCTGCTGAGGCGCGAGCCAGAGCCTTAGAGCACATTGCCGTTTATGATGGTTTTATCACGGTTTATACAGACGGCTCGAAGACAACCGAGGGAGCGGGCTGCTCTTTTGTCGCTGGTCGTGACACCCGCTCGTTTTCTCTGCCACCTTCCGCCTCGGTGTTTTCTTCAGAGCTAGTCGCTATAGAGAAGGCTTTGTGTTTCATCGAGGTTTCTGGCAGTCCCTTTTACTTGATTTTATCTGATTCTCTTAGCAGCTTATTGGCCTTACGTACTTTTAACTCAGTTGACCCCATCGTGCGGGACATTTTAACTCGGCTTACGTCGGTGGAGCAATCTGGAAAATCAGTCCGTTTCTGCTGGATTCCCAGTCACGTCGGCATTGAAGGCAATGAGCTTGCTGATGCTGCTGCCAGACGCGCCGCCGCAGCACCCTGCACTCGGCGCTTGCCTCTGCCTGCCCGGGATTTTTATCCGCTGGTGCGACCCTTCATGCTTTCAGAGTGGCAGGCAGAGTGGGATTTGTGTGTAAGGAACAAGCTGAGAGAGTTGAAACCAACTCTAGAGCCTTGGCAGTCTTGCATGCAAGGCAATCGTTTCCATGAAGTGGTCCTCTGCAGACTCCGTATTGGTCACACATACGCGACGCACAGCTATCTCCTTTCAGGAGGTGAGCAGCCTTTGTGCAACAGGTGTTCCGTGCCTCTAACCGTCGCTCACGTTCTTTTATCTTGCCCACTCTTTGAACGGAACCGGACACGCTACCTGGGCTGTATTGCTCCTGGTACCACTATCCGCCACTTACTGGGTGACGAGTCACCCTGGGTTTTATCCGGCAATATTTTTTCCTTTATCCGTTCGGTCAACTTCCAGGTGATTTACTCAACCTGACCCAATTCCTCTCTAGTCTACTTGTCTAGTCAGTTGACTGTTACGACGCTCTTGCGTTGTTCTATCTTACCTTGTCTTTTTATCAAGTCTTTTACTTTCTAGCCTTGGTATATAGAAGGTCTCTTGTTTTGAAACACTTGTTTTATTAGTGTGACGTTATGGGCGCAAAATGACCTTCGCAGTCGGCGCGCCCTAAAGCCCCAATAAACAAACAAACAAACGCTGTTTCAGTACCTGTTCACTGTGTCAGTGTTTCCCCGTTACTGCAAAACTGCTAAGTGATGTCCACGAGTACTCTGCCTGTTGCTGTCTTTCCTCTTGGCTCTTGGCTCTGTTCTTGCCAGTTGCACCCTACGTTGTCATTGCCGTTTTATCAGTACCTGGTAGTTCTGTCAATTGTCATCGCTTTATCAGATAGATACAGATACAGATACAGATATATTCGAGCCAGATCCACACATTGGAGTGGCTTTTCACAAGCTCACGTCATACGATGGGGGATATAATGGGGAGGGGGAGTATATCGAGCACACATCCACGCATTCACAAATCACAGTACGTATGCTCAACATAGACACACACAATCTAAGCATCTTGTTCAGGCATTGTTCGCAGCACCTTCATAGCGTTAGCTCTGAAAGATGACACCATTGGGTCAACTTTGAGCTGTACCTACTACACCGCTGTTCCTACACCCTGCCCCACTGTATCAGGTAGTCCGCATCACTCGTGTATTTCAGTATCTTTTAGTACCGCTTCCTACCCACTGTATTAGTTCCACCAGTCTGTGTCACCACCATCCCTCTGAACTCGCCTCTCTATCAATACCTTCCGTCCTCTGTATCCCGTGCCACCGTTGACTGCACTGACCTGCATACACCACCGAGTGTGGATCACTCTAACGGCTCCTTGCCCCGTCCGTCCGCAGCTATGACCAACGAGGAGTCACAGCGAGAAATGGAGAACAAGAAGGCCACTCTGCTGCGGAAGCTCAGCTTCAGACCCACGGTGGAAGAGCTCAAACAGCGAAAGGTACGACCCGCCTGGCTCCGTGATCGAATGAGCAGTCTTGGTAGAAGGGAAAGAGGGTAGGCCGTGCCTGAATGAGCGGTCTTGGTGGAAGGGAGAGGCGGAAGGAAAGGGGTTTGGTGGGACAGGTCGTGTGGGACAGGTCGTGTGGGATAGGGTCGTGGGGGACAGCATCTAACTGACCTACTGCGGGAAAATATTTAGAACGGAGGCGTGATGTAGTAGGCCGCGGACAGTCCAGAGCTTGGTGTGGCTTCCTGCGCTAAGGCTCGCCTAATTCTGAGAGGCTGCTTGGATGATGGCGGTTTTTTAGAGCAGCTTGGTTTGTGGTTCGATTGCTGGTGAGACAGACAGTGGTTAGTTCAGATTAGCACTCGGTGCAGGTCCCATGCAGTGCTGAGCGGGGATTGACTGGATTAGACCCGAGTGAGCTCGTCCACAGGCTCCTCGGCCCCGCTAAGACTAATGGCGCCGGTATCGTCTGTGGTCCTGACCAACATGACCATTGACCAAACCGGACCCTCGCTCCCTACACCTTACCTATGCCTCCACGAGACTCCGGCTTTGGGGATCACTGCGTCTCGTTGATCCCACGAAGAGGTCCTCTCCGGGCCGGCTGACAATATCTTAGGCGTGTGGGGCGGCTTGTGGGGCGGTCCGGGCTTCTGCTCGACCTTGCCCGCGTGGCACACCCGCGGGCGCTTGCGTGACGTGCAAAAGAAATAGAAGATCGACTGGATTCTACTTTGTGATTATGATTCGATCTTTACCCCATCCACTAGTGTGTGGTCTGCTTGCTGGCTGATGTCGCTCGCGTGCGTGTTCTTATCCTCTGACGCTCCATTCCGCCGCAGGTGATTCACTTCAACGAGTACGTGGACGTAACGCAGGCGCACGAGTACGACCGTCGGGCCGACAAGCCCTGGACGCGGCTCACACCGCGCGACAAGGCCATGATCCGCAAGGAGCTCAACGACTTCAAGTCGTCCGAGATGGACGTTCACGAGGAGTCTCGCCACCTGACTCGCTTCCACCGGCCCTGATGCCGGCCCTCGCCGTCCGCCGCCGCGTGTTGTGATAGTCGTCAGCCGTGCCTGCCGCCAGACATCTGTCGGCGCCGCGCGGAACCCAAAGTGTCCATGACGGCCGCTGGTCGTCCGTCGGTGTCGGCCATTGTTCACCATTCGCGAGAGATTTGTGCGATACGTCGTAGTATATGAGAATCGCGAGTGGCGTGTCGTTGCTTCGTTCCAGAGAGTGCTGCCGTGTATATGTGTGCGTGAGTGACGCGCCGGTGCTGTGGGCCTCGTGCCAGCCGTGCCTTACTCTGTCCGACGGTAGATAATTAACGGGCCGACTCCGTGGCCGGGGCAGCCGCCTTTCGCCCGCCGTGGCCCGCCTGAGCTGCCCCGCGCGACACCGCGCCCATCCGCATCGATAGATATACTGGCCGTGGGCCGAGAGCATCACTTATGCAGACAAAGTGTGAGGAAGCTGGTAAGTGCATTTCTGAGCGAATTACTCGTTAATGCTTGTTTTAATAAATCGTTGTCTTCCACACGTGGTACCTGTTTTCATCTCATATTTTATGGTCTGTATTTTTATTCCGCCAAATTACTTGCTTGACGTGTACATATTTGTACGTTCCATGATTTTGGAACTGCGAGGGAAGTCCTAAATTGTCTCATATCTGGTAAATGATGAATAATAATATATGAACTAATGATGGTTTTGCTATGCCGAAGGGTAAGAGGTTGTCGGTCTCTTTTTTTCCAAGCTGCTTCTCTTCTTCGGTATCCAAGAGTACCAAGAGTATAGCTAGCGTCGTGTTTCGTTACCATCTGATTTTTTTGTCTTGGTTATTTTATTTCATTGCCGCTCGCTCAGATGTTTCGGTGCAACAATGACCTGGGAAGTGGGAATCATAAGTGCGCTACTACAGATTACGATCGGATTTTCTGTTATGCTTAGCATTTTGTGGTCTGCTTCTAATACGTATTTACTCTGCCCAGGTGTCTCCGGATTATGTTGGAAATGGTATTTGTGGAAACTGTTGGCCTTAACCCAAAGAACGGAATGGCACTGGAGGGAGTCGGGATCAGCTGCGCCACGTCTCAGCCAACCGGACTTGGCCTTCAATGTACGCCAACCTGCCTTAGGGCTTTCATACTCTATCCCTTGTTGACGTTCAGATTTAAAACTTGTTTGTATGGATGTTGCCCAACCATGTCTAGGTATGACCGCAATAATAGATGTAGCTATAGCTTACATCTTTCAGTGTTTGATCGAATTTATTTTTTCTCATCTACCATGGGCATCCCTGAGAACATCTGGCCGTTGTCTATACCATGTATTATATATCGTCACCTCTAAAACAACGGCGTCATAACCAGCATAACCTCCGAACTGGAAACACGCCTCTCATTCAGTCCCAAACAATACCGTCCCAGCGCGGACGACGCACGGCAGCTGCATCCATCGAGCGTGCGCGGGATCCTGGTCATTGAACATTGCTGCGGGTAATGCCCCATAGGCACCGGACTCGATCTCAAATGTCCTCTAATATCCACTACAACGCTGGCCTCGGCTCTCGCAGGAATGACAACTTGAATGCCCGCAGGCGCTGCCACGTTCAGCCGGGTAAACGGTCAGCTGCGTCAAATGTAAACACGGCTTTATATGCAAGAGTAGCTACGTCTGCTCAAAGATCACTTTGCTGATCAAACACAACTCAAAGTTCGCTGCTGAGGCGCAGTGCCCTCACTTGTTGATCTGCTCCAAGATCCAATCCCGGTAGTCGAAGACGCGTGTGTAGCCGGCCACGCTGCCGCAGACACGGGTGCCAAAAGACGAGATGCCCGTCTGGAAGATAGTGGTACCGAATCGATCAGAGACCATCAGCGGTCCGCCCGAGTCCCCGCGGCATGTGTCGGTGCTGTTGGGCCCTCCGCCGGCGCACAGCCGGCTCGGCAGGCTGCGCCGGAACGACGTCTCGCACTCTGACAGATCGCGGATCGGCAGCCGCGCCTTCTGCAGCACCGGAGTGAAGCCGAGCTCAGAGCTGACGTTGCTGCGCCCCCAGCCGGCGATGATGCCCATCTGGTCGGGGGTGATGTCCGTTCGAGTGGGGTCACCCAGCTCCGAGAAGTCAGTCAGCAGGCATATTGGCTGGATGAAGTCGGTGAAGGGGACCTCGCGTGCCAGCCGCACCACGGCGATGTCGTTGGGCAGAGCCAGCTGACGGATGTTCTGGAAGTGTGGGTGCGGGAAAATGGCATCGATGTCGACGGTGATGGGTCTGTCGGCGCACTCGCTTGGCATATCGGGCAGGCAGTCGATCTCGCTGTCGAAGTCGAGCTCGCCCAGAATGACGGAGACGGGCGTCAGCTCCGGGAACTGGGGAGTGCTGAGGAAGCTGACACAGTGAGCCGCCGTCAGCACGTGTCGCGATGTGATGAGCGTGCCTCCACAGCCGTGCTCAGGCCGTGAGTCGGGCGTCTTGGTGTACTGGATGGATGCCATCCACGGGAACTCTCCGATGAACGCATTTACGCCGCCCGTCACCCGCGGTGAGAAGCCGTGCCCGCAGCTAGTCGGCAGCTGCACCCTCGGCGGCGCCACCGAGCGCCTCACCTCATTCTGACAGCAGATCTGAATACGACCGCTGGCCGACCGGGGACACCTTCGAACGAGACTGCGCAGTCGCTGGACGGCCGGTGTGTTGGGACGGGCTGAGCGGGCCAGTCGCTCCAGCTCGGGACAGTCGGAGAGACTGCCGCACACGCCGCCGGTGCCGGCCTCGTCCACCGTGCACGGCACCTGATCGTCGCCGGTGGCGGCTGCGACCAGAGTGCAGCACACCAGCAGCGTCACAGCGCGCACCATCGCGGAGTGGTCCTCCCGGCACGGCGGTCACGGGTTCACTGACAGCGATGCTACGGCGGCGGAGCTGGCGGCGCGGGCATCAGAGGTGCACGGCCGCTGCACGGCGACGGCCCCACCGGGGTACCAGCGCGGAGCGCCCGCTGATACTGGAAACTGCACCGCTAAATGGGCTAAGGTAAAGCGCATGGCAACAAAAAGAAAGAAAGAAAATAAAGTGCTAAATGCTAATCATTCATAAGCAATTTAAAAGATTTTCGTCCTCATTCCCCTTACAACATGATTATGTTGACTTTTTTCAAGTAACACTGTTCAGTGATCACTTCTTTAAAACAGTCGGACGTCCCAGGATCGCTACTTTCGACCCCAGGGCCCAGAGCGCATGATATGAGCACTGCTCTGCAATAAATTTACATCCTCTAGCATAAACAAGCCGCCGAGGAGTTGCGGCGTAGTTTCGAGCGTCCTGCGAGGGACCTGGGACTTCCGTCAATTCAAATATGGTGCAAATATGCAGCAGCAGCAGCTGCTGCATCGCCTTGTTTTGTTGCGGGCAGTCTTGAAGCAAACACTGCGGGTGGAGAGTTTGCATCTCCGTGGCTCACAGAGATATCGTCAAGGCCGCGCGGTGCTCTGGAAAAGCTGGGTTTCCCGGTGCGGCTGGGCGACCATCCGGTCGCCGAGTGGCTCGGGAGGGGGGGGGGGTGGCCGCCCCAGCTGGGACGACCCATGACGTCATGGCATTGTGTCCTCTCCCCACCTGACTGAATTAACTGCGCGGCCGAGCCGCCGACAAGCAGGCTGGAAAACTGGGGTGATTACCACTTACCAGCGGTAATTATGGGGATCTCCTCGCGTGCGAGCGACATTAGACGGGAAGAGTAAACAACGAAACAACGAAACAAGGCGTGAGGTAGGTTTTCCCATTTAGGTTGTTCCATAACATGAAAAAGATAGGTAGGTACCTATAGGTAAAGTTATGTTGTGTTAGCCCGCGTCTCGTAGGGCTATTGCCGGACCCTGCAACCGGGGGGGGGGGGCTGCCCCCCAAGAACTCGTAAAGTTACCGACCGATTTTTAAAACGGCGTTCGATAGCCCCAACGGAGAACTACCAAGTGACCAAATTGCATTGACCTAGGTCAAGTCAACTGATGGCGTCTCAGACTCAGGCCAAAATTTTGCATTTGTAAGCAGTAAGAAAACATATGTGATTACGTCGAGTTAACCCGCGCATGACTTGGGTATTTTCCATAACGCGAGTGACTGAGGGGGGGGGGGCTCTCCAGAGCCCCCCCCCCTCCTATCTCCGAAGCTACTGGGCCTATCGTCAAAATTCAAACGGCGTCTGATAGCCCTGGAAAACTGTCGAACGAAACCTATTTTCATTGACCTCGAGGTCACCGATGACGTCACAGGTCAGGTCAAAGTAATAATTATCGGCATTTTTGCTTGTTTACGATTTAGGCTCTGGCCGCCGGCTGACAAGTCCGATCAGGCTCATCTTTGGTTTACACACTCCTTGATATATGCATTAGATACCCTGAGGGTACCGAACTTTTACTTTGAATTCTTCAGGTCAAGGCCAGGTCACCCTAGGTCACGAAAATTGTATATCATGTATCGGTCACGTGACGCATGTTTTATGGTCTATTTTACACGTAGATTTCGAAAATAATGTCGTCTGTGTCATTTGAGGTCATTTTCAGCTGAATTTACCGGAGGTCAGGTCAATTTCAGGTCAGAAAAGGTCGAATTTTGAAAATGAAATTGTTCAACAAAAAAGGTGTCTATCAGATGCAGTTCGAGCTCAGGAACACGATGGTGCCATTTATATTACTGTACGATGTCAAAAACGTACTGAAAACGGTTTTGAAAAATATATAATTGTAAAATTTTGACAATTATATACTCGAGGGCAGCGCTTTTCGAGGAGCGCTGTGGCCCGAAGGTTTGGACTTTGAATTGTGAAAAACGCCCGCCCGCCGGAAAACGCAAACACCGCAAAACGCGCAAAACGCACGCCCGAAACGCCAACGCAAACGTCGCAAAAAATAAACAAACGCCCGCCCGCCGCAAACCGCAAATAAAAAACGCAAAAACGCCGCTAAACAATAAAACCGCCCGCCAACCGCAAACAAATTTAACACCGCAAACGACGCAAAAAAAGAAGAAAACCGCCCGCATCGCCCACCCGCCCGCCCGCCCGCCGCCAAAGACAAACACCGCAAAAAACACAAAACGCCCGCCCGCTGCAAAACGTAAACACCGCAAAACGTGTAAAACGCACGCCCGAAAAGCCAACGCAAACGGCAAAAAATCACCCGACCGCCGCAAACCACACAGAAAAAAACGCCGAAACGCCGAAAAAAAATAAAACCGCCCGCACCGCACCGACGCTAACTGCTAACCGAAAACGACTAAAAGTCGCCCGCCAGCCGCCAAACGCAAACACCGCAAATAAGCGCCCGGCCGCAGCAAGATAATAATTTATCAGCGGCTGGCATACCGCTAGGCTGGTCATTTTCACAAATCAAAAAGATATCTGCAAAAATCTCCTAGATGAAAGCGCCCGATTAAAAAACGGATGGCACGTGCGTGTTCCTCGCCCCCAACTTCCTTCAAGTCATTCGTCATTTGGGTCATCTAACGCATTGACGTATCTGCAAAAATCTCCTAGATGAAAGCGCCCGAGTAAAAAACGGATGGCACGTGCGTGTTCCTCGCCCCCAACTTCCTTCAGGTCAATCGTCATTTGGGTCATCTAACGCATTGACGACCGGCTGGGTGGAGTGAACATTGCGCCAAGAAACGTAAGTATATTGTCAAAAAGAATCCCCAGAGTGGTGGATCCCAAAAGTTTGAAACTACCACTTTGGCCCACTGGACGACACCTTAAACAGTTGCCGACCGGATGACACCCATTGTTTGGTCACCCACGCCATAGTATGCATCATGGGTGCGCCGAAATGACCAAAAGTCCCAATTTCCGGTGTGCAGGGTCATTTTCAACGGCACGTGGCACGTGGTTCTGGACTTTTCCGGCCACTTTGCGACATACCCATGGGTAGTGCACCGAATGGTGGTTGATCTGCATGTAAGAAAATGGGGGGTCGTTTGGATCGTTTTCGAGCAATCTGCCGTGGAACGCATTTTTTCATTTTCCCCATTGGCTTAACACGGGAATTTTTAAAGTCACGTGGCACGTGCACCAGATGGTCCGCGGAGGGGAGACCCATACCAGAACGTAGATCACCTGGCCCACTAGAAATCCTGAAAAAAATCAGAATATTTGGACCAGCCGTTTTCAAGAGCATCAAGTTGTACTGATCTCAGGCAGCTTTTGCCAAATTGTCAGGGAACTCAGATTTGTTTTTCAATAGAAAAACACAATTCTAAAGAATAGTGTTTTAACTATTGACAACAAACCTTCGGTTATGTACTTACCGAGACGAACGCGTGGCGCGTGCTCAAAAAGTGCAAATTCGCGTCATAGACTTTACATGTATAAATCGGCGTGCGAAATCGGGCGAAAACGGCTAATTTTGGCCGACACGGGTCCAGTTCCCGTGCAATATCTTGGTGACCAGGGGTCCGACCGGCACGTGGAAAACAGCATCGTGTACAGAATTGAAGGGGCTATTGAATGGTGTGCAATGCAGAGGATAGCACGCGCCACGTGCACCGGAGAGGGCACTTTTATTTGAAAAATTGCGGTTTTTGAGGGATTTTGGAATTAATTTTATTTTTAGGTGACCGTTAACCCTATTAGTGGCAGGGGGGGGGGTTGTTTTTATCCACCCCTCAGGTTTTTCGGGAATATCTCCGAAACCGCTGAAGCTACGATGCTGAAATTTTCTGACTTTTCCTAAAACTAAATTGGGCACATTCCCTGAAAATTTCAAGTTCATAACTTTACCAGGGGCGGCTCCAGAGCACTGGGAATTGGGGGTCCTATTCGTGAAGCGAGTCATTTGGGCGAAGATCACGATGCTGCACCAGTTTTACGAACAGTGAATGAAAGGTATCATGTGATAACATATACAAAGTTATTGTGCATCCTCTTTTGACACGTTTTTGCTATAATAGGCGGATCCAGGCGTCCAAAAAGGGGGGTTATTTTTTACCTCCCAACATAGGTGCCCTGACACCGCCTATGCATGACCAATACAATTTTAGTCGTTCTCTCATAAGAAAATTGTAACATAACAAGACCATTGCCACCCTTTTTAGAAACAGTACCAACAAAAACCTTATTTACTATACTTTTTGTGTACCCCCAATCTCAATGATCTGTATCCGCCTATGATTTTTGAAAATGCATATTTTTAGGATCCATGTGAATTCCTGGTTCATTCTCTATCGATCGGCAAAAGTTGCGTTAAGATTGGTTCAGAAACCTGGCCGTGATAAACAGTCTAAAATGTATCTGCAATTTGCCCGTTTTTACCCCCCTCTACCCCCCTATTGACATTTTTTAATTTTTTTTTTTAGAAATGTAGATCTCGTTGAGCCAAATCGAATGCCGTTTGAATTTTGAAAATCGGCCGGTTAGATCTCGAGATATCAAGGGGGGGTCGTAAACAGCCCCCCCCTGCCACTAATATGGGGTAGCCAGGAGCCTGCCACTAATAGGGTTAAATGGAGCGAGTTGAATCAACGCCTATTTGCAAGAGAAAGGTACCGCCTCTCATATAAAAATTGTGAATAGCTAATTGATCGACGCCAAGGTGGCACAAATCGCTAGAGAAAATGGTGTTTTTCGATGATGTGCCACTTTATTAATTAGGGTAACTGTGGGGAAAACGCACCCCTGGGTTAAACGCCTCCCCTAAAAAAATCGTAGATCTTATCGGCGGATAGGTGTTTTATCCTGTCTTTCAGAACAGTCAGCTGCTTGTTTACGTAGTTCTCTATTTCCGGTTCTGCGTCTTGGGGAGCAGCGTGGGTAGGTGCTGATGTTGGTTTTGGGTGTTGTTTTTGTTGTTTTTACAGAAGATTCCTAAGCTTTTGATGCCCTCTTTATTTCACAAAACTTGCTATTGTGCACATCACTCAAAACTGCGTTTTATTGTCATTCTGTTGAATTTATTATGCTGTGGCGTTAGTGGCGCGTTTTTTGTCAATATTTTGTTGACCGGAAATGGAGTGGATGGGGAAAGACGCCTACTCGATGCATGGGGCAAGACGCCCCCAGTTTTCTGAAAGGGGGGCGTTTTGCACGGTGGTGAGAGTGCAGGGTAGCGCCCTGTAGGTCGGGGCCGAAAAGGCCTCTCCCTGTCCTTTTTTGCTGATACATCCTAAACGACTGCAGATATCGTCACCAAACTTTCAGGACTCCTCCGGGCATCCATTTTACACATTGCAACAACATTTTATTCCAAAGGCTATGATAGGTTGACCACAAATGACGTCAGAATGACGTCAAGTTGTGCCATGTTCATCATTTTCTCTGTTGATGGATGGGGTGGGGGCGCTTTGCACATGGGTGTGGGCGTATTACCCAGGGTGTGGGGCAAAACGCCCTTTTGTAAGGGTATGCGGAAACCTTTTTTGGGGGTTAAATACCACACGCAAGTGTCTTTTCTTGGTCTCAAAGCGTAGTAAAAAGAATGAGCTACATGATGGTGCCCAAAGGTTTGAGTAATCTGGGTTGGGTTGAGTGTCAGAAGGTTTCGCGCTTACTGGGGGCGTTTTTGACCTATTCACCCTACACGGGTTTTGCTGCATGACCTGATACGTTTGGCAATTGAAAATGGCACCGTTGGAAAGAGCATTCAATTCTGTCCAAGATTCACTCTTCATGTTTGCATGATGAGCAACAGTATTCTTAAAAATGTAAATGTTCCAAACCATTACATTGTCATTTTTAGCGAAATTCAGCGATGGCCCTCAAAAGACTTCACGCCAGTTTTCGAATCATTCTTAAGTAGAACGCATGATAATACGACACGGGCACCTCGATGCGATGTATCTTTTTGTTTTATTACAAAATGCTTGGCCGTCAAAAAGCAATCGAACGAAATGGATACCAACCAAACCGACACAGACCAACCCAATACCCACGGGTCAAAAATAACCCTTCTTCGCGTTGCGGAGCACGCGGGTAACCCTAGTAACTTGGCTATTTTTTAAGATATTGGGCTAAAACTTGCTAGAGTAGCTCATCAGTGTGTGTTCTATCAGATCTATTCCGGATTTTGCGAAAAATCTAAAACTTTTTGAAAAAAATAAAAAATATATATTTTTTGTAATTGTAAAAAGATATTCTTCGAAATAATCAAAATTTCGAAAATTCGAGACAGTTGTTTGATAGTTATGTGTATTTTTAGTCCACTGATGCAAAGAAATTGGATCTAGCTTTAAAACTAAGCTGTTGAGAGCATTTGCCGTAATTCAATATTTTGCATCAAAATCGGCCGACATGACGTCACTCTGACGTCATTTCCGGCCAAACTATGGTACCTAGAAAGTTGAAATTTTTAACACAAGGTGTCAAATTGATGCCGCTGAGGGTACAGCAAGTTTCGTGTTGATCCGTGAAATGGTTTAGAAACTATTGCCGAAAAACGGGAGGGGGCTCTGTAGAGCCCCCCAACCCCAGTTATGCGCGGGTTAAAGGCACATATTTTGCTAAATAAGTCACTGATACCAGGTCAGGTCACAGAGGTCAGGTCACTTAACCCGCGCCCTGGTGGGGTCTGATTATAACGCTACCTAGCCCCTAAAGGAACTATTAAAGTGCGACCGATTTTTGTCCCCTCGTATAGGTAGTATCTCCGGACGGATTTACAAAACTCAAACGGCACTCGATAGCCCTGTAAAAACTAATCGTGGAAAATTGATTTCATTGACCACGGGGTCACCGATGAATTCACAAATCAGGCAAAAAATCGAACCTTTCAGTTTTCACTGTTAACGGGCCTTCTAGCCTGCGTTATAACATCGAGTACAAGGCATGTAACCGAAAATCATCAATAGAGCGTTGGTTGCCTAATACATATGTTGCTTAAAGAGGTCACTGTTACCGGGTCAGCCGTCAGCTCACAGAGATCAGGTCACTAAGGGTCAAAATATGAACCCAACTAAACTAGGGCCGTGTGATACTCGTAGATGTTTTATTCATTTTACATTTCCAATTCAATGGTGTTGGCCTGTTGGGTAGACGACCATTGAGGCCGGGTTATGTTACGTGCTGGTGGAGATCAGGACAAGATCACGTCAAAAAGGTCAAATTCTAAAGCTGATAGGTACCTATTTTGCGTAAAAAGGGTATCTATTCGATGCAGCTCATCACGGGAAATCTAATGGTGATCTTTGTTTTACCGTACGTGGTCTATACGTAACGGCTAAAAAATATATAAACGGTTTGAAAATTTGACGTCATCAAGTTTTTTCGCCACAACTTTGCCAAAAATCGACTGCTATCGATCCCACATTTGGCATGTCGATAGCAGACCAATAGTTTTATAACATAATTCGTTTTTCAAATTTTTGAAAAATTTTGGTATTTTAATGGTATATACCTATACATTTTTTAATGTTGGGGGTCGAAATAACAAAACCCCGATACAACAGTTCTGTACTCTGTAGCCCTATATCCTTTTTGATATTGAATATTTTTCCTATCTTCAAAAATGTAGGCGTGATAGCTCTTCCCGCGAAACCTTTTTGTGGGTTGAAAATGCCAGAACATGACGTCACAATGACGCCATTTTCAGCCGACTTTAAAACCCTGAAAGTTTTTCTTTTGATATAATGTGTAACATTGATGTAGATACAAGAAGGCACTGAAAGTTTCGCGACAAATCGGCGCATTAGTTTTAGAGATAATGCGAGAAGACTTGAGGAAGGGGGGGGGGGGGGGGCAAAAATGGCCCTCCGCACCAGGGCGCGGGCTAAGGTATAAACATGAACCCAACTATAGTTAGCTATTAGGGTCGTACTATTCAATGGTCAATTTTACATTGAAAATCAAATATATGGGCTAGTAGGCGACCATTGGGGCCAGTTTATGTTACGTTTCGTGAAGGTCAGTCTAAGGTCATGTAGGCCAAAAAAGGTCAATTTCATGATTGATATATCAATATCATGATGTCAATATCATGATTGATATATATTTTTTTCATAAAAAGTATCAGTTCGATGCAGCTCGTCACGGGAAATCCAATGGTGTTCTTAGTTTTACTCTACGTGGTCCAAAGCGCCTAAAAATTGAATGAAACTTTGACGTCATTGAGTGAAAATTTAGGGTAGGTAGACCCTAGACCTGGGTCAAGTCGCCCCACCGAGATAAATGGCTTGCGCCGCCGGCCCGTTGTTGCTGTACGAACGCCGTGCCCGAACACCCCCGGCCCGGCGCAGGTTAACTTGACCTCCACCTGAACTCCACCCAAATATGGTCCATGTCACCACTTGAAGTTGAGATAGGCATGTCTATTAGTTTTATGATAAAAATGACCCATGAAACAGGTGTGGCATACCTGTCTATATCCTGTTCAATATATAGTTCGTTTTGGTGACTTTACCTGACCTTGACCGTTGCATGGTATTTTATGCAATGTGGTATTTTCATCATCATCATCATAACCAAGTTTATTAAACAAAAAAATACGGGCTGAATTTGTACAAAATATAAGACAGGCGCAAAAGCAAAAGCTTAACTCAAAGCGCCTTGTCTGAATGACATACATAAACAAATGTAAACACGGCTGCGGCCGCCGCCACGGCACAGCTCACCAGCAGTTAAAGTCGCCGCTCGCCCGTCGTTCCTCTCCGGAGATCGGATTTTATGCAATGCATCTTGCTTTGGTAGTCTAATAGGTAACGAATAGGTAATCAATCTAAATCAACTCCTCGCCGACTGGGCAACGAAGCCAATATTATAGAAGCTTACAGTTTTTACCCTTGACGTGATCCGGGATGGAAGGTGCTAACTGCTAGCAGAACATAAAAGTTTTATTGTATTACGATTGGAAAAAAATCGCGCATTTTGTGATCTCTTACGACCTGTTTCAAACGTGCCTCGAAGAAAATCCGTTTTAAATCACCCAGGGTACGTGTATTCGAAGAGAAAAGAGGGATCCTCACGAACTTTGACCGCATAAAACAGCATCAGCGATCCACACGTCCCTATAGGGATGTTTGGTATACCAATAATCCTTCACACTCACGATAGACGCTGTGCAGTGTGCCCTGCAGTCAGCACCGACCCCGGCCTCGGTCCCACCCTCCCGACAGATACGAACACCCCTGTCCACGAGCGGCACACCATCAACGCTGTCCCCGGGAAAACCAAGTGGTCGCGCCGGACCCTCTCCTGTCGCCTCGGTGACCTCCGCGCCGGCTACTTGTTCATGCACAGGAGGCGCGACATGGTGGCCTTGAAGGAGACGTCCTCGCTGGAGTGGGCGCGGCTGCGGGCCTCCCTGCGCCGCTGCTTGATGGTGTGCGGGTTCTCGGCCGTGACGTCCATACCGTCGTCGACCTGTGTCGGAGGCTCCTCAGGGTGCGGGTCCAGCGAGCCGTGCTTGCCGATCAGCCAGAATGTCTGCATCATGCCCTTGCCCTGCGGTCGGCACAGGACACAGGTTAGACAGGCTGCAGTGACGATGCTGCAGTTGCAGCACCGGCGCCTTTTTCACATATTTGACCTGAGGTTAACGGCTTGTCCTTTAGAGTTCGAACGCCATTAAAATTGACGTACCTATTTATGAAGAAGTGTTTTTCCCTGCAAAAACGTCTCATAGAAAGGTTCCACGACATTTATTATTCCAGCACTGTGTTCAGTGTTTAGTTTGTCGTGAACCGATCTGAACTGTGCATATGCCACTATTTTGCATTGCTCTAGCATAGTTCATTCAAACGTCATAATTGAAAAACGGATCATAACCTTTAATGACTTGAGACGTCCTCACCGTCGGGTATGCGGAGGCTGGTAGTGCTACGAGTGCACCTCTACAAATCGTTAGGACGGTGAAGCTATAGCGAGCATTTACTTTTTGGGGCAAGATCACTTGACGTGACCTGATGACCTGACCTCAAAGGACCTGGATCTGAAATTTTCACAAAGTGTGGAAGTTTGCCCCGCCAATTTTACGGCAACGTACAACTTTTATTGAAGACGAACGAACAGCATTTCCAGATAAGAATGCCTACATGTTTTCCTTGAGGTAATGTGACATTACTTTGCAGTGGTATGTCTGCAACGCTTTATTTAGGCCATAGAGACCCTATTTGTTTAGTGAAGTGACTCGTGGAATAGGTGTATGCGAACAATGCACATGCACGTTTTTCTCTGAACACTTCTGCTCAGTTTTCGCCCTGTAAATCCGGTGAATGTCTTCTTTCTCGCCATGCATTGATGCTGATTGCCTGCTGATTGCTGAGAGGTAGTTTTAGGCCCTTGGCTGAGGGACAACGCAAGACGCAGTGGTTCGAAGACTTCAAGAAGAGTGGATGATTATCTCTGCACCAATTAGCAGCTGACATGAACCCGGCCGTCGTACGAATCAAGATGCTGACACTGGCTCTTGGAGCGCTGATGCTTGCTGTCAACATCTCTTTGTTCTGTTTCGTCCAGTACAACATCCTCAGGCTGCACATGTACAAATCGGAGCCGGCCGTGCGGCTCGCTCACTACGTGGCCGAGGTGGCCGCCATCCTCAACTGCGTCATGTGCTTCTTCGACTGCTACGTCGTCTGCTTCGAGCGGGCGCACAGTCGCCGGCACGTCAAGGCGCTCGTCTACGCCATGCTGTCTGCCGTGATCTTCGTCTCCAACTGGGGCAGCTACTACTACATCACAAACGGACACTACCAGTACACCATTCCGACCAAGAAGATCACGGCGTTCTATCCGCCCCATTTGGAGACCGTGTGGTATGACGAGATCCACGACTATCTCGTCGAGTATGAAGACGCTAGAAATGTCACCAAGACCAGACAGAACGCTGGGAAGTTTCTGAAAACTCTCAGCCACTTCCAGAATCTGTCCCACTGCTGCGGGGTGACGGGCTACAACGACTACACCTCCCTCGGACTGCCAGTGCCTCCGACGTGCGAGTGTGGAAAGTGGAGCATTCTGAAGGTGGTTCGCTGCACTCGAGGACACAAACTCAGCACTGGCGTGGCTCGGCTAGTCGCAGATGAATCAGAGACCGGGCATGACCCAGGCGAAAGATCCTCTTCCAGTAAGTACGAGCTGACAACGCCGGTGTTCAAGAACGGTTGTGAGAAGGACCGTGCTCACTGTGTGTACGTGCTCACTGGAATGTTGCGGCTGCTGGTTTCGAGTGTGGCGCTGCAGTTTCTTTCCCTTCTCTTCATACCATTACCCTGGCTGTATCAAAAGTGAACGTTGGTTCATCTCGGTTTTCTTCCCTGGTTGCATCAGGAAAGAACTATTAATTACCGATCTTCACCAATCTGTCTCTACGAGTACTGCACCCGCATTTATCAACTCGCACAGCATTGAGATTGAGTCCAGTATCATATGAATGCGTCCTGATGAATATCGTGTTGTTTCTGTTTTCATGTCTGTGTAAAACAGAATGCTAGCTGTTATTTGCAGTGAGTGTAAAATGTAACTTTCGTAGATTCAATAAGATGTGAAAAGGTATTGAAGCTTTTTATTTCGTTATTGTTAGCGTCGTGAATCACATGAACCGCGAACCAGATAAATATTTTACTAATGTGGTTACCTAATAAATACCTACATATATTCATTAGGCTCGTCACCTTCTTATTGTAAGTGATTTAAACCCGAGAATCAGAGAGCAGACTTACCTTGATTTCGATTTCGCCGCGTAGTTTGGTGATGAAGCCGCCATACTTATCCAGGGCTTGCTTGGTGTCCGCTGATATGTGTATCTTGAACGCTGTGAACAAAAGCTGTCAGAACAGTTGACAACATGAAAAATATTTTTTTCGGCCGGAGCTGGTGTGCCTAATCATCAGCAGTGCTTATTGGAGCAAATTAGGGTCGATTATCGCTTTGCTGGGCGCTGGGAATCTCCAGGACTATGTTTTCTCTTGTAGGGCATGATCTTATAAATGTAAAGTTATACATACGTTACGCATAAAATAAATGTTACGCATAAATGCTGCATAATTCATATAAATGTAGCGTTACGCGGACTGCGCTCGACGCCACTACTTCTGGCGCTGTTTTTACTCACGCAGTCCGGTGCTTTCCATTCTGCTGGCAGTGTTGACCGAGTCTCCAAACAGACAGTAGCGCGGCACTTTGGTGCCTACCACGCCGGCCACCACTGCACCTGTGTGGATTCCGATCCTGCGGGATCCGACAGCACACCGGAGCGTTAGACTCGAGCTAACACGGTGTATCATGGACGCCTGGCTGTAGTTAACCATGTCGTGGTTGGACAGGTGGGAATTTCGTCACAGCACCGCTTTCTCAGCTAATCCCACGATAATCAGCTTACAGCCTAAAAGTGTTACGTGGAATATCTTTGCACGCAGACTTGCCTCTCCTATCTCCTTTCTCAAGCCTCCCTTGCATCCCATTCTCACCTGATCTGAAGCCGCTCTCCGGGCATGTGTGAGATGACGAAGTTCTCTGCGCCGTGCAGCAGGCTGAGAGCCATGGAGGCGATCTCGGAGGCGTGGTCTTTGCCCGTGCGCTGCGGCACACCCGAGGCCACCATGTAGACCTCGCCGATAGTCTCCATCTTGTATACGTCGTACATGTCGATCCGCGAGTCAAACATGCGGTACAGCGCGTTCAGGAGAGAGATCACCTGCGACGGAGAGAAACAGGAGTGAAGGAAGTTTTAACTATATCGGTAAAAATGGATATTAAGACATCTTACTGCATTTTTGAAGATCGACATGCCAAGTTTTTCAAAGCCCAAGGCTGTCAAAAGCCAAGTTTGTTGCAGTCACCTGCATCGGGGTGCTCTCTGAAGCCAGATCGGTGAAGCCGACGATGTCGGAGAAGTAGATGGTGACCGATTCGTACGTCTCTGCCGACACCTGCTTTCCTTGTTTTAGCTGCTGGGCCACCGTGGGTGGCAGCATCTGGTACAGCAGCTTATCTGTCCGCTTCTTCTCGAACTTCAGCTCGTGTGTTTTGTGCAACAAAGTCTCTGAGAATGCCTGCAACGTGAACCTTGTCAACATGACCGACTTGAAATTGCAGGCTGCTCCAGTACAATCGATATCGATAGAAGACAATTGGCAAAGCCAAAAAAGATGACTGTGATTCAAAAATGTATATTACAATTTATTATAAAATACATTTAACCATACATAAGAGAAGAACCTATAATTTAACTTTTTATTTCGTCAGACTTTTACTATCTCTAACAGAATGAATGGATAAGTTAGGTACGATGTCGTTTTCTACCGAACCGATGCACCATCGCCTCTCTCTCCGGCATCTCCCGTGTCAGTGGCACGTTCATGTACTCGCCTGCAGCGTCCTGGTGACCATGCGCACCAGCAGGATGATGATGGGGGAGATGAGCAGCACGGTGCAGAGCACAGCGATACCCAGAAACACCTGACTGTTGGAGTCGCGCATCTCGTTCATTATCAGCTTTTCCACGCGGTCCCTGGAGACAAGAACAAGCGCGTTTATCGCCGTTTGTGCGGACACATTTTTTTGCTGTCACTGGAACGCACGGTGTGCCTACATCTGGGGATGTATATCAATGTATGTATGTATTTCGGGCATTTGCAGTGCGCACGTTTATGTACCTATATCATGATGTACCTATGTTTAATATTTATTATTATTATATTTTAATATATTGTTATTATATTATAATGTACATGATGATGTATATTTACCTTTAAAAGAGGAATGTTTATGTTTAGATATATCCAGCACTTTTTTATTCCATCGAACGGATTTTCAGAGGAGCCACTCACCTTAGTTCGTACTGGATGTTTTTCAGAGCATCCAAATATCCCAGCATTGCATAGAAGTACTCCGTAGCCTTGTCGAAATCCGGTTCTATTTTCTTCCTCATCAGAATTTCCAAACGACGCCGAGTAATGTTAGAATACCACGGATAAGTATCTTGAACTGAAACATACCTGAAAGCCGTGTTCTGTCACTTTGTTGGTACCTATACAATTGTTTTCATTTCCCAGTGTACCCCTCAAAAGAAGAACTCAGAGTTTCAAAGTTTAGCCGTGCATACTTCGAAATACCTTGGGTATGTAGATTATGCATAAGTTCATACATGCTGGCATATAAAATGTTGATAGGGGAAACGCTAAGAATAAGCAGTGCATTTGACTAAGTATTTACTCAGATAACATGGATTTACGTGAAGCTGTGCTTTATGCATAGGGAAGCTTCTTCGCCTTCTTGTTCCCCCCTCGACATAATGAAAAGCGGTGCTTGAGATTAGGTAAACGCTCCCTTTTCAAAGTTGCGAGTGTATCAGCTTTTCATGAAAATGTTTTGAAGATTTTTTTATATTACTTATGGTTTGCAGATATTAAAAACCAACATAAATAAGTTGAGACCTTCTATTGCCAACACATTTCTACTGCCGGCGTAACCATCGCCCACCTGTCTTTGATCCAGTAGGCGAAGTTCTGCGACTGGTTGAGAAAGTCCTGGCCGAGGGCGTCGTTGGTGACGAACTCGATGTAGCTGCTCTGGTCGAGCTCGCCGCGCCCGTAATACTGCTCACCGAACACCATGCTAATGCCGAGGTGCTCGATGGCTCGAATCATGTTCTTGTAGGCCAGCAGTAGCCGCCACACTCCACTGGCATCCTTCTCCTTTATCTCGCGAGTCAACTGGTCAACGGAAAATAAGTTTAAATGTAAGAACAACATTGATGCAGTCTGTTGTTAATTGGCTTTGGTATGAAAATTGGCACGAGAAGGATTTGATGTATATGGATGCATTTTGTTTGAGTGCCGAACATTGTTTAATTAAAAATCTGTGCAATCGACTACTTTGATAGTGTTAGGTATATTTACAGCCAGCTTAGATCAGTTTAGATCGGTATTCTCCATCACACGAGAAGCGAACCATTAACTCACCTGATCTAAGAAGATATAATTTGCTTTATTATAAAACTCGATGCCCGATTCAATGGAATACTTCTCATCGAAATCAAACTTTGCAATTTTGTTCCTGAAGTCATCCAGACGGATTCTGAACAGGATTTTATTCTGGAAGAGCTCATCGTCGATCCGAAAGTCGGGCCACTGGAGGTCGTCGATCAGCAGGTTGGTATACTGAAAGTGCTCGGAGAGGTTCCTCCGGATCACAGAGCCGTTGGTGAAGAGGAAGAAGGCGATCTCGGCTCGCTCCGACTGCAGAGCTTCGGTGACGTTTCCCAGATCGGTACTGATTTGCACCTGAAATCATAACAGCGCTATAATGTGGGCACTCCTTATCACCCGCATCACCCGTTAGGTAGATGGGAAATAGAAAACAAAGAAAGTGAGCCAGTATAGACGGTGCTCCTAAAGGTCAAGTCATGACTTACAGCAATGCCAACATGAAGTGTTGGCATTGACAACAGATGAAGTGATAAGTGCCATCGTTACCGAGGCTTCACTGGATCAACCCAACAATTAAACATCAAATGAATATGATGCCGGAAGGAACGGGACCTTGCTGTCTCCTCAGCCTTCAGCTCACCTGGTCAATGCTCTCCTGCATGTCGTACTGGTGCTCGAGCACCGTCAGCATGTTGACCACGTTCTGGGTGATGAGTGCCATGATGGGGATGAAGGGCAACAGCAGCATCTGGATCAGGTGAAGCTGCTTTCCTCGGCCGGTGGTCGGGTCCATACCGCAGCAACCCGTGCGGACCTGTTGGGAAAGTAGTCTGGCAGGCACTTCAAATTGGCATACCGAGGCAATCTACATACATGCTTACTTACATAGGTGTCGATTATTGACCTGCAATGTCTGAAGGAATAAAAGTACGACAAATATATTCAATTATAAAAAAGTACCTACAAGGCAAGAACGCAAGCTTGAAGCATTGTTACAACGAAAAGTTAAAATGCACAAAGTATAACGTTCACCGCTCAGCGTTACCTCGACCAGCTTGTGCTCGTTCTCTGAGTCGATGGAGATGAGAGAGGCTCGTCGCAGCGTCTTGGCATCCCTCAGCAGCTTGTGCGCCTGTTCCGTCTCCTGGCGCAACGTCTGGGCCGAGTCCTGACCTCCCTTTTCATCCCCCGCCTGCGCCGCCGACCGCGCCGGCGGTGCCATCTGTTGGTGACCCAGGCAGTTTTTGGAACTACACTACACAATCGTGATATTTCGTTGGTTTTCTTTTATTTCGAAAATGAAAAAGTTACCAATTAAATTCAACAACACAAGAAACCGTAAGAACACAAAGTTTCAGACAGTTACCAACTAATACCTAAAGTTTATGCGTGCAATATGTTTGGCAGTGTTATCCATCGTTAGGCAGCATGATAATCTATATTTGATGTCCTCTTTGACAAGGAATCATTTTTTTCAGATTAATCATCGGTAGCCCGGAGGGGATAAAGCTTCGATTTAGCCTGATATAATTAAAAGTTAACGCGACGGGTCGCAATTTATTTTGTACACCATATGCTACATCTTTTCTACATAGGTACCTATTCCCGTTAATTATATGCACCATTTTTGGATGACTATCCTACCTTCATGCACTCTCAAACATCACTGACCACTGACCAGGCTTATGTTAAAAACCTTCATTGGAAAACTGCACCCGTAACCACACATTATATCTTCGATGTCATCCTAGGTCACGAAAGGTCACAAACAGTTTTTCAACAATAACTTCGAATAGAGGCATATAATTTTTACAGGGTAATTAACATTCCTTTGATGTCCAAAGATAAGAAAGAACGAATACAAAACAGATCAGCTGTTGCGATACAATGGTACAACACGATTCCGGTTAATTTCTGACGGCCTTTGGTCAAACTTTCTAACTGAACTTATTAAGTGAGATTACATATGGAGGTAATGCCGGAGGCAGAGCTATTGATTTTGGTCAAAGATCATGTATTCGGAAAAGACCTGAAGAAAGAGCTATATGTATATTTTTTTGCCTTGCACTTTCAACAATTGAAGATCTTAACGGATTCGCCAAGAAATGTCATAATAGGAGTTTCTATAAAGACGGCCTTTGAAATTACCAGCACATAAAAGCGTATAATTAAATTTTGATGGTTATTGACAACCTCCCGAAATCCTCTTGTCGCTATTCGCTTCGTGGGACAGTAGCCATATTAGAAGAGGATGCAAAACCGCCCTTCTCCTACTCGAAACAGTATGTAACTGCTCCCACGGATTTGAATTAAATCAATTACTGACCGTTTTCCATTCACACGCGCTTGTGCGTGACGCACGTATCGAAAATTTGTTGCAATAGTTCATCTTTATTGCATAAAAGTTCAATAATTAGTAATATCACGTCAACTCGTTTACTGCTAGGACCATTTTTCATCTATTTATCTATTTATTGGAAAGGGAAATTGCGCGATAACATTTGGTAAATGATCAGGTATTGTCAATTTTTTAGCCGATTAAGGCACATATCCCTCATAAACACATCAATTCAAAAATATTGGCTTAGCCATGAGTTGAATCACGCCAGAATTTCGAATATGAATTTACTCTAGTTCCACTGATTCAGTGGTGTTCTGAGCCCTCGCTGGCAGGACCTACCTTCGTCCGGCGCAGGGTCACCGTTGCTGGAGCAGCCCCTGCTCCGTCCGTGCCGGCGCCCTCTCCCACGCGGCGGGCCCGACTCCGGCGGCCGGAGGACCCGGGGTGCTGCGCTGCCCCCTCCCCCACCCCACGCCCGGTCACCGATGCAATATGACCAGCGCGCACACAATGATGACCGGCCCAGCCAATATAGGTCAATTAGAGCCGACCGACCGACGCGGTTAATGAACAGAAAACCAGTCAATGGCCGCTATGGATGTCTCATATGAGGACACCATAATTTGTTTTGGGAAAGAGGACAAGAGACTTATTGCGTCACAAACGATTTTTTCGAAACATAAAACGTTTTGTGTAATAAGTACCTACAGCGCCGTGTATGTGCATCACAAACATCCAAGGTTTTCCCTCATACCTATAGGAACAGCCCACCGCTAAAGTAATGTGCGGTTTTACCAATCTCAACGGATGGCTTAGACCCGCGATTTTTTAATGCAGGGTGGTCGAAAAGAAGACGTCAATAGATAAAGTTACAGCTGCGAGGGTGACAATACATGTAAGCTACATGTATCTGATTATTACTGATACAACAATGTTATGAGCCCTGGCGCAAAACTCAACATTGTCCGGCAGGCGGCAATGCCTACTTTGTTTTGTATTTACCTGTTGGCTTTTATGTCTTTCCTTCATTTTCTTCTAAAGATTTCACGGCACACACATCCCACCACCCGGCACACGGATCCCCATAGGCAGCGGAACGGGGAGGGCACCGGGGCACCGTGCCCCCTTTGATTTTGGCATTTTAACATTAGCCCTATGGGCGTTGCATGGAAAGAATGGGACCAAAAGTCGGCAGTGCCCCCCCCCCCCCCCCTTAAAGCTGTCAGAGGTGGTTGACACCTACTACGAATACTCTGTAGGACCCCTGGGGCGTTCCACGACAAATCGACAAATAAAAAATTAAATTTGCACCCTCATATTTTATTTTTCGTTGAGAACTGGTGTAAGGGGTTGTGATGGGCGGGGAAGCCAGTTGTGGCAAGGATTTTTTTCTTCGAACAACGGTTTCCGAGATATAGCCTCGGGCAATTCCTGGAGGTCGCGCTGCAGCCCTGCGTGAATAGTTTTTGAACATTGTGACAAAATTTTTCCAAGGGCTATGATAGGTTGGCCGCTAATGACGTCGGAGATACGTCATTTCTGCCATTTTCGACCTAAAAAGATTTCTTGAGAAGAGCTGTCAGGCCTACAGCTTTAGAGATACAGAAAAATGTTTAAACATTAAAGATGAAGAATTGACGGGGCTACAAAACTGCTATCTATGATTTTTGAAATTTTTGGATTTTGATCCCCAAAAATAAAGCAATAGGGTTTTTAAATATAATAGCAAAAAAATCCAAAAGGTTTTGTGAATTTCAAAAAATGGAATATATATGATAGTACCTACCACCTTCTATCTACATACCAAATTTGAGATAGATACCTCTTTTTTTGCCAAGTTATAGCGAAAAAACCGTTCAAAATTCATTACGTCAAATTTTCAAACTCAATTTTTAGCGATTCTAGATCTCGTAGCGCAAAACAAAGACCACCATTAGACTCCCCGTGACGAGCTGCATCGAATCAATATCCATTTTATGCAATCAATCAACCTTGAAATTTGACCTTTTCGACCTTTTTTGACGTGACCTCCACCAGAAAGTGACCTAAACCGTACCAGATGGTCTTATAACCAACACCATTGAGTTGGAAATGAAAAATTGACCATAAAACACGCATCGCACAACCTTAGTAAAATTAGGTTCATGTGGTGACCCTTGGTGACCTGACCTGTGACCTGACCTGGTATGATTATTGACCTCTAATAGCAACATATGTACTAGGCAACTGACGTCCTATCGCTGATTTTCGACAAAATGCGTTTTACTCGGTGTTATAGCGCATTCCCTAGAAGACCCGTGAACGGTGAAATATTTTATCTATGACCTGACCTGTGACGTCATTGGTGACCCTGAGGTCAATGAAATTTAGTTTCCTTCAACAAATTTGACAGAGCTATCGAACGCCGTTTGAATTTTCAGATCCGTCCAGTAGTTTCGGAGATACGGGTGGGGCAAAAAAAAAATGCCCCCCCCCCCCGACCGCGCGGAAGGTGGCCGGGAGGCCCACCGCCTGCCGGTTAACAGTGACCTGGCGTGCTTGTCTTCTGTAAGGAAAGCTTGGCTTACTCTTCTGTTCAAGTGATCATCTCCACTTGTCATACTAGCCTAGATATGGACTAAGAGTCTGTCAATACAGGAATCTCTCTCTCTCTCTCTCTCTCTCTCTCTCTCTCTCTCTCTCTCTCTCTCTCTCTCTCTCTCTCTCTCTCTCTCTCTCTCTCTCTCTCTCTCTCTCTCTCTCTCTATCTCTCTATCTCTCTCTCTCTCTCTCTTAGTATCTGAGAGCATTCTTCAGCAAGCGCTATCGAATCGAATGCGGTTCGATATCGAGATGGCACTGTATCTCTATTCGTTCTCTTTTCCCTTTTGCAGCTTTATGTATTCCCGAGGTACACGCCGCTTTCTCGAAAATTGTCGAAATAGGCGCAAACTTTAACCTTTGATGATTTCTAGTGACCTTGAGCTTTGAGCTTTGACATGACCTAAATATTGGCCGTATTGTTTTTTGTTAAAATACTCCCTGGCCAGGCGCGGGTAAAGCGATTTTGATTTTCTGTGACTTTGACTAGGCTATTGATATATTTTCTTGTCATCTTTTACAGCACTTTGATAATTTGCGTTTGATATTTTGAAACTTCATACCTATAATTTTGTCAGTGCCTTCGATATTCTGCGATCCGATACCTTTTGCTGTGCCAATAGAAACGCGCGTTGTTTTTGTTATGCCATCTAAATCTTCAGTTTATTTCGGTCTGTATTCAGTGCACAACAGCCCATAGCTCTCCACAGTGCGCTCACATTGACTAGGACACTCTGGTCTCTGCCGGGTTTTCACGGTCCATTTCGAACCACACTCGCAGCTCCGCGACGGAATCTGTCTCGTCACTGTGGCCTCTGCGCACACTGGCAGCAGAAGTACCATCATTATCGACCACATCGCCACCACCATCACTACCAGAAACGACAGGAGCAGCAGTGGTAGTGACAGCAGCAGCAGTAGCCCTAGATGGCAGTAGCCCTACTCGCACCAGGCGGCAATGGTAGTTCCGCGAATCGCTCGCCACAGGTAAGTGCGACTATTTGCAGAGGATTTTCTTGATGACTGAAGGGTTTCCCCTCTTTTTCCTGCCGCTGGTGCCCTTGCTGACGCTCTCCTGGTCCAACTTCTCCTTGCGCTTCTTCGTGTCGTTGTGGCGACCCACCAGCCAGAACGTCTCCATCTTCGGCTTGTTCTGAAACAAATGCATGCCAACGTCAGGTAAAGACGAATTTGATGCTTGGCTGCAGAATTGATTTCTATTCATCAGTTACTAATCACCTTTGTTTGCGCGGACCAAAATAGTTGAATTAAACCAATCCGCGATTTTTCCCATATGCTTTTAAACATCGTCAGTAGCTCCAAAGAAGATGCTCTTCTTAGGCATCCAGTTTTATTATATACTTCTATGACTTGATCATGTAATTGGGCATTTATTGTAGGGCATGTAAGCATCTTAAAGTTTAAGAGAGGAGTTTAATCCGCCGAGCTGATGTTTTTAGCGGCAAGGTTCCAATACATACCCTGTGAACATCCACCTCCCCGCGCGGGACCACAATGAAACCGCCCTGGGTGGGCTCCAGCATGCTGCGGGTGGCGCTCGAGATGTGGATCTTGAACGCTGAGGAACAGAGACACGCGTCAGTGAAGTGATATATCTATAAAGGTATTGTGTCCCGTTGTCTTTAATAACCTATAGTCGCAAACTGGTTGATACGAGAAGAGGATTGTCTGAATATCATTATCCGCCTTGCAAAATGGTGCAAAAGTGACTCACTAGGTAATGATTTCATTATCGCAGAGGTCTTGCGAGCAAAACATGGTATTAATCATGCGATTTTACCGAAATAATTCCTGAGCTTTGCTAAAAAAAGCAATATTTCATGCTTCGGACCATAGCCACCAACTATGCGTAGCACTCACGCTGTCCGGTGTATTCCAGTCGTGAGGCCGTGGACACGGTGTCTCCAAACAGGCAGTAGCGCGGCATCTTGGTGCCCACCACGCCGGCCACCACCGGTCCCGTGTGGATGCCGATCCTGCAACATCACCAGAATGTGATGGTTAGCTAAGGAATAGTTTATCTAGCCGCCATACGAGCAGCGCATGCAATAACCAAACAACAGGGGACAATGTACAGGATATAGACGAGTTCATCTGCTTCGTATCGATCGTGAATGCAAAACAATAAATTATTTTGAGCTCCTATTTTTGAATGAAGTCAATGGAAGTGAGACGAAGTTTGACTTGTTTTATTGAATAGTTCTCCTTTTTCAGATCAAAAACATATATCCTTCGCCCCAGTGTGGGGGGGGGGGGGGGCATATGTTACCACCCTGTCGCGTTTTTTGCGTGTAAATAAAAACCCTTAGCTTTTGGTACATCAATTTTGGACAATGTGTGAAATTTTTGACCCCAGGTCATGTCAGGTCAGGTCACCAGGTCAAGTTAACTGACCAAGCCTAAAAAAGTTTGCAATCATGTCCAGCCTGCAGTGTTTGTCAGAAAGGTTTAAAACTTGGTGGATTGCATGCTGTTATAGGCGCCTACAATTTGTATATCTCGGATTTTTTATATCCGTGACCTAGGTTCAGGTCAGTGGCGTGACCTTTCCATTACAAGTCAATGGAGAAAAATCAAAATGCCTCTAGATCCGTCTGTACGCATAGGAACAGTCCAACTATTTCAGAATCACAATGATTTGGACCACCCGTGATGACCTAGGTGTCATTTTTGCTGATAGCCTCTAGAAAGGTCATCCGAGGTCATTCGAGGCTACAAACAGCTTTTTGCCAATAACTCGCGATTGGAAAGAGTTAGAACGCTGGGGATGGTCTCATTGTGTTTGTCTTGTTGAGACGCATCGACTGATATGCAACATGACCTTTCCCGGTCAGGTCATGACCTTGACCTGAGGTCAAATTTTCAAGTTGACCTTTCAAGGTCAAATTATAGTTCATTCGACGCGTCTCGGCGAGGGGAACACGATTCTGGCAATGGAAATGTCGTGGCTTTGTGTAGTCGAAAGCTATTGTCGAAAAACACTTTTCGTAAAAACAGCTATTTTTGGAGTTTTTGCTCTCTGGAGGCTAAACCGTTGCCCTGAGGTCAATTGTGATAGTGACCTTATCAAAAGAAGAGGTCAAAAGCTATCGATTGCTGTTCCATGCGTTTTTCTAGCTACCATAGTTCCTGAGATAACGGCATGTTTTCTGAAAATTATAATGACAATTGGCAAATTTTGACCTTTGATGACCTCTGGTGACCCCAATATTGCTCTAAGATGAAAAATGATTGAAATACTTTCAAACGTACGCATTGAGAGCTATCGACTGCTTTTTACCGCGTCTTTCTAGCCCTCTTAGTTTTTGAGTTAGAGGTGGGTGGTAACATATGCCCCCCCCCCCCCCACTAGGGCGAAGTTGGCTGAGATTCCCACTGGGGCGCGGGATATCGCCTAATTGTTGCGCGAAATGATTTGGCGTACACTGACGTACCGTATTTTCAGTTTCTCCCCGGGCATGTGCGGGATGACAAAGTTTTCAGTACCGGTGAGTAGGTCCAGCGCCATGTGGGCCACCTCTGCCGCGTGGTTGGTGTCTGTCAATGAAGTGGGAGGTCAGTGGTCAGGCCGAACCAGTTCAGGTCAGGTCAAAATTAGCTTCAGGTAACGGAGCGGTGCCAGATCTTCGTGCAGTACCTAGCACACGAGCGTTGCCAATGAAATGGCCTTTTCTTTCATCGACGCTCTTACAAGCAGGCGGAAAGCTCCACACAGCGAATAATGTTCGTGTTAGGCCTATTGGTGGTAATAGCTATTTTCAACGACGGGCTATCTGGCGAATGCACTCCTAATTTGACAAAATCTGCATCAAATCTCATTTACAATAAAGATCTACGTATCATGAATTTGTTTCATCCCTTTAATCAAAAATGATTTCTGATAATTGAGCAAATGAGGCATATAAGTGTGTGTATAGCCCAGACTGATAACTTTTAAGAAACACACTGAACCTAATTTGACCAAATCTGCACCAAATCTGCACCTAATCTGCACCAAATGTGTACCAGATGGCTGTCGTGAAAACGGCTAATATAATGCACACCCATGTCTTCGAATGATGACACAATCATGCAATTTTATTGATTCGAAACGTCTCTTTTCCCAAAGCTCGCGATGGTGTTTCGTCTCATTTCGTCGATCAGGTATCATCCGTTCCATACCTGGTCTCCTCATGTGCAGACCGCTGGAGACCATGTAGGCGTCACCCACGGTGTCGATCTTGTACACGTCATAACAGTCGATCTGAGAGTCGTACATCTTGTAGATGACGTTCAGCAGCGAAATTACCTGAAATATAGCAGCGCAGAATGTGGTTTGGATTGCCAGTGAGTAGCGACTAATAAATTCAACACTTTTCTTCCAAATAAGTAACTAATTCATTTTTCATTAGGAGTCAGTTACAATAAACCGCAAGTAATGTGTAAGTTAGCAGACTCTCAGCCTTTTTACGAGAAGCGTGGAAGCGCATGCCACAATTCATGCCTACCTGCAGAGGAGTGCTCTCGGCGGCGAGCTCGTAGAAGCCGATGATGTCGCTGAAGTAGACAGTGACCGACTCGTGCACCTCCGTGGACACCTGCACGTAAATAAGATGTGAAACAGCCATTGCTTTCTGGCTTCAAAAGTAAAGTACCCCTCTAAACGGTTGGCAGTATTTGATATCATAGGGCAAATTTCGTGAAGTTCGCCCATTAGTCTTATGCGATTAAAACAAACTGTGATTGACCCAAACATAAGCAAAACTTTAATACGAAAAACATCGTCTTCCCTCTCTTTCTCCGCTCTCTCCTCACTCTCTCACTCTCTCTCTCTCTCTCTCTCTCTCTCTCTCTCTCTCTCTCTCTCTCTCTCTCTCTCTCTCTCTCTCTCTCTCTCTCTCTCTCTCTCTCTCTCTCTCTCTTGTCCTCTCCCTTCCAACATACCCACCTGTTTCCTCTGTCTCAGCTGCTGCGCCACCGTTGGCGGCAACATCTGGTACAACAGCTTGTCGGATCGCTTCTTCTCGTTGCTAAGCTCATGTGTCTTCTCCAGAAGTGTTTCCGAAAAGGCCTGAAAAGCACTTTGTGTTACATATGCCAACTTATCAAGCCAAAAAGCATTTATTGCTAGAAAAAAAAAACTTTTGCATGTTCATGAAATAACTCTGCATCATTCCAAAACTTTCGGAGCTCCACTAGCGGCCAGATGTCACCCTCGTCAGTGGCACGTTCAGTGACTCGCCTGCAGCGTCCTGGTGACCATGCGCACCAACAGGATGATGATGGGGGAGATGAGCAGCACGATAACCAGCAGCGCCAGGCCGACAACCACCTCAGAGTTGAGCGCTCGCACGCCCTCCCGTATAGTGTTCTCCACCTCGTGTCTGCAAACAGGGCGCGCCACGAGATTCTCTCAATGCAGGGAGTCCTTTTCAGTTTTCACTGAATGTCATAGACATAGACAGTAGGGGCTAAAAAAATCTGCATCATTTTTTTAGAGTCTCATCACCCCATGGGAGTTTCAGTTCTCACCTGATTTCGTACTGGATGGTTTTCAGGGCGTCTAGATAGCCCAGCATGGCGTAAAAGTACTCGGTGGCCTTCTCGAAGTCGGGTTCGATCTTCTCTCTGAGAAGGATCTCGTGGCGACGTCGGGTGATGTTGGAGTACCAGGGGTACATGCTCTGTAGCTGGACGTATCTGGCGACGGAAGAACGACCGAAACGCCGATGAAAAAGTGTTTAGGACGGATATGGCTGTTGAATTCAACTAACGGACACAATATTGCAGATGGAATCTACCAAATCAGTTTGGAAAGATAAAGTCATAACTGCACGAGACGCCTCTTTTGCAAGCGCGACTTTGGAAGTAACATATTACAAGAGGCATCTTTGAAATTTCAATTCCTTCAGTTGACCTACCGATCTTTGATCCAGTAGGCGAAGTTTTGACTGCTGTTGAGAAAATCCTGGCCGAGGGCGTCGTTGGTGACAAACTCAATGTAGCTACTCTGGTCGAGGTCGCCTCTGCCAAAGTATTGTTCTCCGAAGACCATGCTGATACCCAGATGCTCAATGGCTCGAATCATGTTCTTATAGGCTAGAAGCGGACGCCAGACGCCACTGGCATCCTTTTCCTTGATCTCCCGGGTGAGCTGCAGACATGAAGTGCGCGAATTTATTTGCAATTACAAACGGTTGCCAATATTGTTCAGCTACTGTCAAGTCTATGGCGCAAGAATATCTCGACAAGTCCAAAAGATAGGAAGCTGGCGTAGCGCGAAATCCACGATATCATCGTTGTTGACGATCTGATGCTTAGACATACCTGATCGAGAAAGATGTAGTTTGCCCGGTTGTAGAACGCTATTCCCGCGTCAATTGATGGCGTATCAAACTTTCTAATTTTATCTCGAAAGTCGTCGAGCCTGATGCGAAACAAAAACTTGTTCAGGAATAGCTTGTCATCTATCCGAAACTCCGGCCACTGAAGGTTATCAATCAGCTGGTTAGTGTACTGAAAGTGCTCGGAGAGATTTCTCCGGATCACAGAGCCGTTGGTGAAGAGGAAGAAGGCAATCTCGGCTCGCTCCGACTGCAGTGCTTCAGTGACGTTTCCCAGGTCGGTACTGATTTGCACCTGAAAGTAAAATATGGATGGTAACATATATGAAGTTGAACCGAACAGCTTGGCCACTAAACAGTAATTTATGCCTTCGAAAAATGACGGTTGACGGAACAGAATATACATGTTTGGTAACAACAACGACCAGCAATGACTGAGCTTTTTGGTCACATTAAAAGATACACCGTTTCACGCCCAGTTCTGTGGTAGTTTTAACCCGCGCCCCGTAGGGGGGGGGGGGCCGAAACGGCCCCCCCCCTGTCCTTTTCGGTCGTTATCTCCTAAACGGCTGGAGATATCGCCACCAAACTTTCAGGACCCCTCCGGGCATCGATTTTACACATTGTGACCAAAAATTTTTCCAGAGGCTATGATAGGTTGGCCACAAATGACGTCAGAATGACGTCATGTTCTGTCATTTTCGACCGAAAAAAGACCTTCGCGAGAAGACCTGTCAGGCCTACAGCTTTGAAGATACAGAAAAATGATCAAGACACAAAAGGTGTAGAATAGACAGGGCTACAAAACTGCTATCTCGGATTTTTGAAATTTTTGAGTTTTGACCCCCAAAAATCAAAAATGCATTTTTTTGGATATATAAGCCGAAAAATCCAAAAAGTTTTTTGATTTTCGAAAAAACCGGAATATATGTGATAGTACCTACCGTCTTCTATCTACATACCAAATTTCAGATCGATACCTCGTTTTTTGGCCAAGTTATAGCGAAAAAACTGTTCAAAAATGATGACGTCAAATTTTCAAACTCAATTTTTGGCAATTCTAGACCTCGTAGAGCAAAACAAAGACCACCATTGGACTCCCCGTGACGAGTTGCATCGAATCGATACCCATTTTATGCAAAATTATCAACTTTGAAATTTGACCTAATTTGACCTGACCTTGACCTGACCTTCACCAAAACGTGACCTAGGCTGGCCCCAAAGGCTACCTAACCCACATAATCGCATTTGTCATGTAAAATGGACCATAAAACATGCATCACACGACACTTTCATAATGTGACCCCCGGTGACCTGACCTCGCTGTGACCTGACCTGGTATCAGTGACCTCAGATAGCAAAGTATGTGTTTGACGAACAATGTACCATCGATGGTTTTCAATAAATTACCAATTTACTCGATTTCACAACACATTTCTTGAAATGCCTGTGAACGGTGAAAATCTGACCTTTGACCTGACCTGTGACGTCATCGGTTTGACCTAGATCAATGAAATTTGGTCACAAGGTAGTTCCCGGGTGGGGCTATCGAACGCCGTTTGAATTTTGAAAATCGGCCGGTAACTTTCCGAGATCTTAGGGGGGGGGCCGAAACGGCCCCCCCCTACGGGTGGTAGGGTCCGCCGGTAGCCCTACGGGGCGCGGGTTAATTAGTATCGACTGTTTACTTGGCACAAAGGCTATTTTAACCCTCGCACGACCAGGCCATTTCTCATAACACGAACGACCAGGGGGGGGGTTGTTACGACCCCCCCCCCTGGCGTTTCGAAACGGAAGGTCGTAGAGCTTAGCGGAAAAAACCAACGGATTGCTCTCAACGAGATCTCGCGATTGGTGGTATATTTTTTGGTCCTAGGTCAACATTTGACCTACTTATGACCGGTCAAAGGTCAAATTTTCCGAAAAAATCAAACTTTTTCAACTTTCCGCGGCGATTGCGGCAAAACGGTGGGAGATATCGACTTGAAACCTTCACTATCGTGTTTCTTGATCAATTCTCTATCGTTTGGTATGTATTTCGTTTCCCTAGCTCTAAAAATGGCGCGTTGGGAGCGCCGGAAGTCGGCAAGGTCACAGTCGGCGGCAGAAATTCGAAAAATCAAAATTTAAATTTTTGAAATCTGATTGTATTTTTGGATTTGGGAGGTCCATTTGCTCCCTATAGAAGCTAATATTGCTGCATATTCCCATTGAGGTGACAAGAATTAGCAAAATAGTGGTTCGGGCGCTTTTCAAAAATAGTACCGGACGCTGTTCCTCTTGTGACGTCATAGCTCCGTGACCTGACCTGACCCGGTCAATTTTCTTGCACCACACGATAGCCAATGCTTGCCTCAACATAACATGCATGGGAAGTTTCATCATGATCCATCAAACAATGTGGGTATCACCGGCAGAAAACCTAGGGATTCGGCGCACACGTTTGGTAACTGTCGGCCGGAGGCTGTACCTCTTATGACGTCATAACTCCGTGACCTGACATGACCCGATCAATTTTTTTTCGGCAAAAGATGCGCAAAGGTTGCCCCAGAGGGTATTGAAAATTTCAGCCCGCTACGACAAGCCGTTTAGCGTGCACTTCGAAAAAACCTCAGGGGGGGGGGTTGATACAACCCCCCCTAGGCGTTCTAGGGTTAACTTTGACCCACGATTCTTTTGACGATTGAGTTGGCGACAATGCGTTTGATTAATTCTAAACACAGAGTTTACCCACTTGTTCGATGGTCTTCTGCATATCCGCCTGCGACTCGAGCACGGTCACCATGTTGACCACGTTCTGGATGATGAGCGCCATGATGGGAATGAAGGGGAGCAGCAGCATCTGGATCAGATGGAGCTGCTTCCCTCGGCCGGTTGTCGGATCCATACCACAACAGCCCGTCTTCACCTGTGTCGAATGGGAAAATGCAAATACATAGTTAGCTAAGAATGGAATAACTAGTTAGGATCAAGTCACATTAGAACTTATTCCGCATTTAATGATATATTTTTGCTTGAGAAAAATCAGATATTACTTTAGTAAAATTTTATCGCTACATAACTATAATCTACCATTGCTGCAAGTGGCCAATACCAAACACTACGCCGTTTACTTATCGGGAATTTAGGGTGCGTCGGCTACAGCGCTCGTTTTGCACTCATGCTGCATAACACGATTTGCACCCGATACCCATAGGCCATATAGCCAGACACAGACACAAGTGAGTCCACTAACCTCCACCATCTTGGTAGAGTCCTCGCTGTCGATGGAGATGCCGGAGAGACGCCGCGGGTTGGGAGGCAGCTTCATCTCCATCGTCTCACTCTCGTTCCTCTCGCCGCCTCCTCCGCCACCTCCGCCGCTGCCGCCTTCCTTTGGATTCTGTGAGTCACAGAGAATAATCATAAGAATGAGGTGGACCACCGCTTGGAGAGGATTTGATCGTGAACATGAGAAATCAGTCATCAGATGAAGAGGAATGCTCACCATGGCGGCTTCCCGATGTGAATGAAAGATGAACAAGAAAAAGAAAGAAAATACGGGGCATACCGCCGCTGCTGGAAACAAATCGTGAAATGAAAACTGTGGACGGATCACAGTGGCTTAACAGCAAACTGCAGCTACAAATAGTCGTCTTAACTAACAGTTTGGACTTCCTTTCTCCGCAGTCTCCGACTAGAGCGTTTCCACTTCCCACTCATTTGAATTCCTGTCACTAGATGGCGTTTTGATCAAGCGCCTGAGGTTATGCTGTGCCGCACTACACGTTAGATTCGCAGGTCCCATTTTCGCGTACATTTTCGCGTCGCGATGGGCGCCTTATTGGAAGCTGCATCACTACAATTTATACACCCATGGGGCTGCGTGAGTTAACTCGTATTACAATAATCATAATCGTGCTTATATGACCATAGTGTGCTTTCACACATTTATATTGTCCCTTTAGCCTACAAACGTCTCTCAAGCACGTCTGTAACAGCCATCTACGCATAGCAGTTACGATGTAACCGACAAAATGTAGTTAACCGGTTATATCTAGGATGCCAGCAAAACCTAACAGGATGTCAGCAACCTAATTATTCGACTTGGCAAGTCCCTGATACAGTCAGTTTTTGGAGGTCAAACAACCTACCTCTTTCACGTCGCCATCTTTGCTCTTCTTCTTGCTGGGCATGGCTGGCGGCGTGCTGGCGGGCCGGCTGGTGGGCCGGTCCTCAGGGTGCTGCCGCTGCCGTGCGGGCCCCAGCTCCAAGTCTGCTCCTGGGCTCAGCGACCACCCCTTCGGAGCAGCCCCCTCGCCCCTCCCCACTGTCCCCACCAGCGGCAGCTTATGACAAGAGCCTCATTTCGCCTCATCAGTCCATCGACCGTCCGCTAACAAAAAGACAATAATTGGCCGATATGAAGCTGCGCGCTCACCTGATATTGCCCAATTAATCTGGCCCGGTCTCGGAGGGTGGATCAGGGGCGCCGTGCCCCACTGGGGGGACCCGCCGGGGCGGGGCGGGGCGGGGCGGGGAGCGGCCGCCGGCCGGCCGCGCTCCACTGCCGTTCTGCGGGCGGCCGCGGCAGCCTGCATGCACCATGCTGGGCGGCCACACGCCAAGATGGGCCTGAGGAACAACAAGGTAAAGGAGGCCACGTCGGCCGGCCGGCGCAGCTCGGCGCTCTCCCTAGAGGACAGCGATGACGACAGCAAACTGGTCGAGTTCAACGGCGGCGTCTTCAAGGTGAGACTCAGCGTGCGAAATAACTGCACGCAAATTTGTTTGGATTTTTTTTTTTTTGCACAAGGTGGGATGGGTTTTTGCGAGAGGATGAGGGGATGTGAGCGATGCATGGGTTTAACCCGCGAGTTGCTGGGGGGGGGCGTTAAACGCCCCCACTTTTTTCGTCGCGCCATAGCATAAAAACGGCGCGCCGCAGGCGCGCCAAATTTTGGGTACCTGTAGGGAATTGATTGAAGTGTATTGTGACAAAGTTTTAAAAAAAATCGGTCGGAAAATTTTTGAGATATCGAGGTTTTAGTGACGTCATGTTTTCTGAGTTTTCGACCAAAAACGGCATATGTTCAAAAAATCATATAAAATCACAGAACAGACATAGAGACATGCCGTAAACGCCATTAGACTGCCAATACCATGAAGAATGAAATGGCTATCTTCGATTATTGATTATCGTTCCGCATTTTCCAAAATCTTGAACTGAATCTTGGCAATTTCTCATAACTACTTCACGACCATGATACATGAATTTCTTAAATTGAACTTTTTAAGCCAAACACGTACACATATGATAAAATGAATGTCACCATCGTGTTCTACGCCCCAAATTACCCATAAAACATGTGTCACAGGTTGCGAATATCAGTTTTTATTTTCGGGGATAATGTGCCTGCCCGGTTGACCTGACCTTGACCCTGACCTATGCTTGACTGACCCCTGCATGGAGCTGACACTCTTGTAGGCCTTATATGATGAATTGTGCACCGTTTTGACAGAGTTTATGACGAGAGGCGCCCATTGCGAAGTCCTGAAGTCCATGCTACTGAAAGCCCGATTTCAGGTGTTTGACCTGACCTTGACCTGACCTGTGACCTCAAAATTCAACTTTAAAGTACTCATCTGAAGCGTCTTGTCGCGTTCTTTCGTTTGCCGCCTCGTGCGTTTCGCTGCGCCTATTGGTTCTCGAGTTATCGGCTGGGGGCGTTTAACGCCCCCCCCCCAGCAAACGGTGGGTGGCGAAATACCCCAGCAACTGCCGGGTTAATATGTATGGCCTTGGGTTTAATATTGACGCATTGAGCAATGGACATAGACGTGTTTAGTCCTTTTGCTTGCTCAAAAGAAATATATCACATTTTTGCCCCGTCCTCCAGTCTTGGGATGTGAGAAGATGTATACTTATTCGAGCCTAATGGGATAAGTAAATTAGGTTAATATTTCAATTTTAATTTCAACTGATGAAGACATAAGCGCATATTAATCGTGACAGCGACTCAGCGCTATCCAGAACAGTGATCCTTCATCATGCTCACTAATTTGGAGCTCATGGTATGCGAGGATGTATTTATGTGTGCTTGTCCCTGTCTTACGATTTATAATGACGGAAACTTTACTTTTCCCATATATTGTTGAATACCGACAGACGACATTGTAAGTAGTTTGATTGTGAAAAGCTTCAATGCGTTGCATCTGGAAAGATCATGAGCCGCTCATGGGTACTTGCCTACCTATCAATATTTGCCAAATTTTACGGTGCACCTCTGCGATTTATTTTGCTACTTGCATTCTTAACATGAGGGACGATAATTTCCCTTACAAAGCATGTAACCTTTAATTTGTTTCGAAAGTATTTAAGGCATTTTTCGCTCAGGTCAAGGCTTAGGTCACAGGATGTCATAAGGCAGCATTTTTTTTGCGTTAAAGTTTTACGTTGTTGATACTTTTTACAAATCGGCACAATAGGTACTGGTGAATCAATAACAGCTACAGCATCGCAAAGAAAACGCATCCAAAAACTCTTTAAAAGCCTCTTCCCTGACACGTCTTGATATTTGACCTCGGCTCAGCTGTTTGGCTCATTAGAGTAAAAAATATATCAGAAGATGCCGAGACAGTTGTTTGCCATTGCTTTAGATTCAATCATAATATGCAATTGCATACATTTTGCTAGCATAGCGGTTTTTTTTTTTCGTCGAGAAGGTCGAATGTAAAAAAAATTGACTTCAGGTCAAGATCTTGACCTAGCAGTTTTTTTCGTAGTGGCATGGTTATTAGTCACTTAACTTGACCTGATGATCTGATCTTAGGTCACCTGGGTCAGAAATTTATTTTGAAACTCGATGCAATATCGGTGCGTAATAGACTATTCAAAGTTTCGTGGCGTTACGCGCCATTTTTGTCTTCCACACACTTACAAAACTAGACAGTGTGACCGAAAACGCCTACCCCAGCCCCGGCCATCAGGGCGAAGGCTAAAAAGGCTGAAAAGAATGTTCGACCGAGAATGGAGCGCCGTCTGTATGTACTCGGTTTCAGGTGAAGACAGGATGCTGCGGCCTAGACCCGACCACCGGCCGCGGCAAGCAGATCCACCTGGCCCAGATGCTCTGCCTGCCCTTCATCCCCATCATGGCGCTCATCATTCAGAACGCGGTCAACATGATCAGCGTGCTGCAGTACCAGTACGAGATGCAGGAGACCATCAGCCAGGTCAGCACTCCCGGTGTCCTCAGTGTTCTCTCAGTGCCCTCTGAAGTTTATCTGGGTAAATAGGTGCAACTTGAACCTTGATATAAAAGGGATGAAGCTACATACATTCATCGCTGGTTTCATGACAGTGTTTATAAACGTATCCGTTATTTTAATGCCTCATTTGATGAGCTAAATGACGATGCAGTGATATCTTGCGTCGTTTTTATTTGCTATTATTATCTCAATTTTATCGCAGTTCAAATGTTTCAGGTGCAAATCAGTACTGGACTGGGAAACGTCACTGAGGCGCTGCAGTCGGAGCGAGCCGAGATCGCCTTCTTCCTCTTCACCAACGGCTCTGTGATCCGGAGAAACCTCTCTGAACATTTTCAGTACACCAACCTTTTGATCGATGAACTCAAATGGCCAAAATTCCGCATCGGCGACCAGCTTTTCCAAAACAAAATCCTATTCAGAATTCGACTGGATGACTTTCGCGACAAAATTACCCGTTTCGATACGCCTTCAATAGACGCCGGTATCCAGTTCTACAATCGTGCTAACTACATCTTCCTCGACCAGCTGACCAGAGAAATTAAAGAAAAAGATTCTTCAGGTAAGTATGCGTCGAGCAAGCATCATCGTAACGTATCTTTTGTTCCTGAGTGACCACTAACAGCGGAACTAGTAAAATACTGCGCCGCAAGGCACTTCCTGGGAGGTAGACTGTTCCGCATTACCTTCGTAAAAAGCCGCCGCGCCCCCGCGCCGGTGTGAGCAGTCAGGTGATATGATGGTCTCTATGTTACATTCATTAGATATATTGAATATCGCTAGCCGCGTCTCATTCGTATTAATTTTCTGTGCATCACTGCATACCCATAAAAATGGTTACCGTGCTACCTGAAGCATGTTGTAGTCTCAATGCTCATTAATCATTCGAAATAGATTAATTTGATGGAAGCTAATAAACTTCACGATTAAGAGCGATCCTGATAAAATTTTATATTTACAAATGACATGATTTGACAGGTGTTTGGCGACCTCTTTTGGCGTACAAGAACTTAATTCGGGCAATTGAACACCTGGGCATCAGCATGGTGTTTGGGGAGGAGTACTTCGGCCGGGGCGACCTCGACCACAACAGCTACCTCAGCTTCGTCACCAACGACGCCCTCGGCCAGGACTTCCTCAACGCCAGCAAGAGCTTCGCCTACTGGATCAAGGACAGGTTGGTCAGAGGCTTATCGGAATCTTCGGGTTATAGAGTGCTGCGATGTATCAGCCATGTGTCCCATAAGGTTAAAATCTTTACCGTTAATTTTCTTGTAAATGATTATTATTTAGATAGCACTAGAGGTACAGGTTTACGCGATAACTGTATGTTTTGATATGTATGATTAACGGATGCATTAGTTTGGGTGTAGAAACTTGCATTTTTATTGGTATGATTTTTGTAGAAGTGGGTAACTGCTTTTAATTGAACTGTAAAGTATGATGGTGATGCATGCGAGTTCTTCGAGCCCTTTGTAAGTTAAGATGTTACTGAACGCAGCCCTACCCTAACCTACCCTACCCTACCCTACCCTACCCTACCCTACCCCTACACTACCCTACCCTACCCTACCCTACCCTACCATACCCTACCCTATACCCTACCCTACCATACCCTACCCTACCCTACCCCTACACTACACTACCCTACCCTACCCTACCTTACCACTACCCTACCCTACCCTACCCTACCTACCCTACCCTACCCTACCCTACCTACCCTACCCTACCCTACCCTACCCTACCCTACCCTACCCTACCCTACCCTACCTACCCTACCCTACCCTACCCTACCCTACTCCTACCCTACCCTACCCTACCCCACCCTACCTTACCCTACCCTTACCCTACCCTACCCTACCCTACTCCTACCCTACCCTACCCTACCCTACCCTACCATACCCTACCCTACCCTACCTTTACACTACCCTACCCTACCCTACCCTACCCTACCCTTACACTACCCTACCCTACCATACCCTACCCTTACACTACCCTACCCTACCCTACCCTACCCTACCCTACCCTACTCCTACCCTACCCTACTCCTACCCTACCCTACTCCTACACTAACCTACCCTACCCTACCATACCATACCCTACCCTACCCTTACACTACCCTACCCTATCCTACCCTACCCTACCCTACCCTACCCTACCCTACCCTACCCTACCCTACCTATACCCTTACACTACCCTACCCTACCCTACCTTACCCTATCCTACCCTACCCTACCCTACCTAACTCTACCCTACCTAACTCTACCCTACCCTACCCTACCCTACCCTACAATCCCCTACCCTACCCTACCCTACCCTACAATCCCCTACCCAACCCTACCCTACAATCCCCTACCCTACCCTACCCTACCCTACCCTACCCTACACTACACTACCACCGACAGTCCAAGTTTCAGCTAAATCGGCCCAGAAACGGCTGAGATATTGCAAAAACAAATTAATTGTTTTTACTGGCGAATCCCCTTGGCGAGCGGTGCCTTGTGTCGGCCTTCGTTGGCTCTGATGCTTTTCACTCAGTTTTCTAAGCGAACAACTGAGCCTAAAGCACGTGCCTTCTGCTCGGCACCGGTCGCGGCCCCACCACGTGCACACCGCTGAACCCACACCGTCGAAAATTTAATACGACAAATGAGTGCACGCGCTCGACTTGGCATGAAAATTTCACCCCCGTAGCCCTCACCGTTTCCGAGCAATAGCCTGTTTAATAAGTGTTTATGCCGATTCTAATGCTAACCCTATGGCGCACATGAGCACGCGCCACGGGCGCACCCCCGGCCGCATCGTGCCCAAAATTTAATACAACCTGTTGAATGACGTGACCCACGAGTTGTGAAAATTTCATCCTCCTGCGTCAATCGACGGCGCCGTAATAAGCCTTTTAGGGAGTAACCCCGACGTGGGCGGCGTGGAACTTTTTAAGATTTATAATAGTAGACTAGAGGTACAGGTTTACGCGATAACTGTATGCTTTGATTTATGTTATGTTACGGGTGCATTAGTTTGGGTTTGTATTTTTAGCTGTATTATTTGGGTAGATTTGGGTAGCTGTTTTTAATTGAACTGTAAGGGATGGTGATAGTTGCGGGGTGTTCAAGTGTTTTGTATGTTGGGCCCTTTTTGAACTCAACCCTACCCCTACCCTACCCCTACCCTACCCCTACCCTATCCTACCCTACCCTCTACCCTACCCTACCCTACCCTACCTTACCACTACCCTACCCTACCCTACCCTACCCTACCTACCCTACCCTACCCTACCCTACCCTACCCTACCCATACCCTACCCTACCCTACCCTACCCTACTCCTACACTACCCTACCCTACCCTACCCTACCCTTACACTACCCTACCCTACCCTACCCTACCCTACCCTACCCTACTCCTACACTACCCTACCCTACTCCTACACTACCCTACCCTACCCTACCCTACCCTACCCTACCCTACCCAACCTTTACACTACCCTACCCTACCCTACCCTACCCTTACCCTACCCTACCCTACCCTACCCTTACACTACCCTACCCTACCCTACCCTACCCCTACCCTACAATCCCCTACCCTACCCTACCCTACCCTACAATCCCCTACCCAACCCTACCCTACCCTACCCTATTCTACCCTACCCTACCCTACCCTACCCTACCCTACCCTATTCTACCCTACCCTACCCTACCCTACCCTACCCTACCCTACCCTACACTACACTACCACTGACAGTCCAAGTTTCAGCTAAATCGGCCCAGAAACGGCTGAGATATTGCAAAAACAAATTTATCGTATTTACTGGCGAATCCCCTTGGCGAGGGGTGCCCGGCGCCGGTATTCGTTGTCAAAGGTCAACGACCTGCCGGCTCTGATGCTTTTCACTCAGGTTTTTAAGCGAACAACTGAGCCTAAAGCACGTGCCTTCTGCTCGGCACCGGTCGCGGCCCCACCACGTGCACAGCGCTGAACCCACACCGTCGAAAATTTAATACGACAAATGAGTGCACGCGATCGACTTACAGCGAAAATTTCACCCCCGTGGCCCTTACCGTTTCCGAGCAAAAGCCTGTTTTTGCCGATTCTAATGCTAACCCTATGGCGCACATGAGCACGCGCCACGGGCGCACCCCCGGCCGCATCGTGCCCAAAATTTAATACGACCTGTTCATTTACGTGACCCACGAGTCGTGAAAATTTCACCCTCGTGCGTCAATCGACGGCGCCGTAATAAGCCTTTTAGGGAGTAACCCCGACGGCGGCGTGGGCGGCGGCGGACTTTTTAAGATTTACTAGAGGTACAGGTTTACGCGATAACTGTATGTTTTGATTTATGTTAAGTTACGGGTGCATTAGTTTGGGTGATTGACTTGTGTTTTTAGATGTATTATTTGGATAGATTTGGGTAGCTGTTTTTAATTAAACTGTAAGGGTTGGCGATAGGTGCGGGGTGTTCAAGTGTTTTGTATGTTAGGCCCTTTTTGAACTTAACCCTACCCCTACCCTACCCTACCCTACCCCTACCCTACCCTACCCTACCCTACCATACCCTACCTTACCCTACCCTACCCTACCCTACCCTTACACTACCCTAGTCCCTACCCTACTGTACCCTACCCTACCCCACCCTACCCCTACCCTACCCCTACCCTACCCTACCCCTACTCCTACCCTACCCCTACCCTACCCTACCCCTACCCTACCCCTAACCCTACACTACCCTAGCCTACCCTACCCCTACACTACCCTACACTACCCTACCCTACCCTATCCTACCCTATCCTACCCTATCCTACCTACCCTACCCTACCATACCCTACCCTACCCTACCCTACCCTACCCCTACACTACCCTACCCTACACTACCCTTACACTACCCTACCCTACCCTACCCTTACACTACCCTACCCTACCCTACCCTACCCCTACCCCTACCTCTACCCCTATACACTACCCTAACCTACCCCTACCCTACCCTACCCTACCCTACCATACCCTACCCTTACACTACCCTACCCTACCCTACCCCTACCCTACTCCTACACTAACCTACCCCACCCTACCCTACCCTACCCTACCCTTACACTACCCTACCCTACCCTACCCTACCCTACCCTACCCTACCCTACCCTACCCTACCCTACCCTACCTAACTCTACCCTTACACTACCCTACCCTACCCTACCTTACCCTACCATACCCTACCCTACCCTACCCTACCCTACCTAACTCTACCCTACCTAACTCTACCCTACCTAACTCTACCCTACCCTACCCTACCCTACCCTACAATCCCCTACAATCCCCTACCCTACCCTACCGGCTACCCTACCCTACCCTACAATCCCCTACCCAACCCTACCCTAAAATCCCCTACCCTACCCTACCCTACCCTACCCTACCCTACCCTACCCTACACTACACTACCACCGACAGTCCAAGTTTCAGCTAAATCGGCCCAGAAACGGCTGAGATATTGCAAAAACAAATTAATTGTATTTACTGGCGAATCCCCTTGGCGAGCGGTGCCTTGTGTCGGCCTTCGTTGGCTCTGATGCTTTTCACTCAGTTTTCTAAGCGAAGAACTGAGCCTAAAGCACGTGCCCTCTGCTCGGCGCCGGTCGCGGCCCCATCACGTGCACACCGCTGAACCCACACCCTCGAAAATTTAATACGACAAATGAGTGCACGCGCTCGACTTGGTGTGAAAATTTCATTTCTGTAGCCCTTACCGTTCCCGAGCAATGGCCTGTTTTTGTCGATTCTAATGCTAACCCTATGGCGCACATGAGCACGCGCCACGGGCGCACCCCCGGCCACATCGTGCCCAAAATTTAATACGACCTGTTGAATGACGTGACCCACGAGTCGGCAAAATTTCATCCTCGTGCGTCAATCGACGGCGCCGTAATAAGCCTTTTAGGGAGTAACCCCGACGGCGTGGGCGGATTTTCTAGGATTTATAATATAGACTAGAGGTACAGGTTTACGCGATAACTGTATGTTTTGATTTATGTTATGTTACGGGTGCATTAGTTTTGGGTGATTGATTTGTATTTTTAGCTATATTATTTGGGTAGATTTGGGTAGCTGTTTTAAAAACTGTAAGGGATGGTGATAGTTGCGGGGTGTTCAAGTGTTTTGTATGTTGGGCCCTTTTTGAACTCAAC